GAGTTCTGCGCCAAGAACCCCCCCCCCATGTACATCACCCTCTACTACATAGTCACCCGTCTCCCTGACTCCCTTCGCGTAGTCAGGGACCACTTCCTCTCGGTTTGTCCCACCACTCTCACCGTTGACCTCCTCGAGAAGGCCCTCCTAGCAGCAGAAAAGAGCATCGTCGCTGTAGGAGCCTCTCGTGGTGACCCTCGCACCCCCATCTTTGAGGGGTGTTCCCCCTCCCCTCTTTTGCCCTCTGTTGCCTCTGCTGCTGCGGCCGACCTCGCTGGTTTGGAGTCGGTTGGGGCAGCGTCTACCCCTAGCGGGAGACGCCGCCCTGGCAGGGGCAAGGGGGGCAGGGGCGCTGGAGGAGCTAGCGGGGGCGGTGGAGGCGGCGGTGGAGGTAGTGGAGGAGGTGGGGGTGGCGGTGGGAGTGGTGGCGGGGGTGGAGGTGTAGGTGGCGGCAGTGGAGGCGCAGGAGGCAGCGGCGGTGGCGGAGGGAGCGGAGGTGGCGGCGGTGGAGGAGGAGGCGGCGGAGGAGGTGGAGCTGGTCGGGGTGGCGCTGCGCAGAGGGTCAGCTCCGGTGGTGGTCAGCGCCAGCAGCAGCAGCAGCAGCAGCAGCAGCAGCAGCAGCGCACTCGTGACGTCCCCTCCCCTCAGCAGCTCCGTGAGTGGTACACTGCACGCCAGAGGGGTGGGGGTGCTGGTCCGTGCACCTACGTCCTGCGCACCGGCGACCGCGCGGGTGAGCAGTGCGGGGGTGCGCACTCCACCCAGCGCTGCTTTGGCCGCCTCACGGACGCTTGGCGTCACCAGTTCCCTGAGGCCACTGAGATCCCCCGCTGGGGTGAGCTGTCTAGGGCGGGTGTAGCTGTCTTTGACCTTGACTTTGATGCTATTCTTGCTGCCGTGTATACTGTGACTATTAGTGATGAGGGTGACTGTTACCGGTGTTTTCCGCCCGACCCGGGCATTGAGACTGCTGCTCTAGGTACTGGTGAGGCTGCTGCTCTAGGTGCTAGCGAGGCTGCTGCTCTAGGTGCGTCTGCTCCCTCAGGTGCTGGTGAGTCTGCTCTCCCAGGTTCTGCGTCGGCTTCGGCCTCCCACACCTTCACACTTGACTCGGGGGCTTCTCGCTCCTTCTTTCGAGACCGCACCACACTCACGCCGCTTGGCCGGCCAGTTGCGGTCTCCCTGGCAGACCCCTCTGGGGGTCCTGTCCTTGCTCACTTCTCCACTGTCCTCCCGTGTCCGGCGGCCCCCTCTGGCACCCTGTCTGGTCTCTACCTCCCCTCGTTCTCTACGAACTTGGTGAGTGGTGCTGACCTACAGGATGCGGGGGTTCACCAGTTCACTCCTGCGAGTCAGCGGGTGACCCACTGCACGGACGCTCGGACAGGCCGCCACCTGGCCACGTTTACACGTCGGCCAGGGTCGAGCCTGTACACACTGACCACTGCGTCTCCTCCAGTCCCTGCGTCTGGTCAGGTAGCTGCGTCGGGTCAGGTGTTTGCTGCAGCGTCCAGGTCTGGTCCTGAGTCTGCCCCCTGCTCGTGTCGCCTCCTGTCTCACGAGACTCTCCTCTGGCACCACCGCCTTGGCCACCCCTCCCTGCTTCGTCTCCGGAGCATGGCCTCCCGTGTCCTTGTCTCTGGTCTTCCCCGGTCCCTCCCTCCCCTTCCTCCGGGGCCAGGCCCTACCTGCGTCCCCTGTGTCGAGGGACGGCAGCGGGCTACCCCTCACTCCTCCCAGTTTCCTCCGACAGAGGCCCCGCTGCAGACGCTTCACATGGACGTGTGGGGCCCGGCCCGCGTCCGTGGACAGGGTCACGAGCGCTACTTCCTGCTGGTGGTTGACGACTACTCGCGTTACACCACAGTCTTCCCCTTGCGCAGCAAGGGTGATGTCACTGAGGTGTTGATCGACTGGATCCGCGCAGCTCGTCTCCAGCTCAGGCGGAGCTTTGGCTCGGACTTTCCTGTTCTGCGTCTGCACTCTGACAGAGGCGGAGAGTTCTCCTCTGGCCTTCTGCGAGCCTACTGTCGTGCACGAGGCATCCGCCAGACCTTCACGCTTCCGGACTCTACACAGCAAAATGGGATTGCTGAGCGCCGCATTGGCATGGTCATGGACGTCGCCCGTACGTCCATGATGCATGCGGCTGCCCCCCATTTTCTGTGGCCGTTTGCGGTTCGGTACGCGGCGCATCAGATCAACCTTCACCCCAGGGTCTCCATGCCGGAGACCTCCCCAGCTTTGCTGTGGACGGGGAAGGTTGGCGATGCGTCTGCGTTCCGTGTCTGGGGATCTCGGGCGTTTGTCCGCGACTTGTCTGCGGACAAGCTGTCCCCTCGTGCTGCTCCTTGCGTCTTCCTGGGTTTCCCCCCTGACGCTCCAGGGTGGCAGTTCTACCACCCCACCTCTCGCCGTGTTCTGTCCTCCCAGGACGTCACGTTCGACGAGTCGGTCCCCTACTACCGCCTCTTCCCCTACCGCACTCCGTCCCTCCCCCCGCCACCGCTCTTCCTTGTACCAGGTCCCCCCCCGGTAGACCCCCTCCCCCCTCAGGGTCCTGCCCCTTCAGGTGTGTCCCAGGTAGACGCTGTTGAGCCTGTCGAGGTCGCTGGTGACTCTGGTGCTGCTGAGGGTGCTGAGCCTGGGGGTGCTGACTCTGGGGGTGCTGAGCGTGTGGGTGCTACGCCTGGGGGTGCTGAGCCTGGGGGTGCTGAGCCTGGGGGTGCTGAGTCTGGGGGTACTACGACTGGGGGTGCTGAGCCTGGGGGTACTACGCCTGGAGGTGCTGAGCCTGGGGGTGCTGCGTCTGGGGGTGCTGAGACTGGGGGTACTACGCCTGGAGGTGCTGAGCCTGGGGGTGCTACGCCTGGTGGTGCTGTGCCTGGCGGTTCACCGGGTGCTCCCTCTCGCCGAGAGCCACTCTCTCCCCAGGAGCTACGTGAGTGGTTTGCCCGGCGCTGGAGGCGAGCTGCTGGAGCTGCTGGAGCTGGAGGTGCTGCGGGTACTGGAGGTTCTGTTGCTTCTGAGGGAGCTGGTGCCACGGGTCCCGGAGGTGCTCGTACTGGGAGTACTGGAGCTGCTGGACCTGCGGGTACTTCTGGAGCTGGAGTTGCTGCGGGTGTTGGCGCGGAGGCTACTGCTGTCGGTCCTGGAGGCGGTCCTGCTGGGGGTACTACTGGTGCTGCTGGGGGTTCTGGAGCTGGAGCTGCTACTGGTGCTGGTGCTCTGAAAGTAGTCAACTCCCTGCCGCTGACTGAAGCCACGAGCCACGTAACGCGCCTTGAAGTACATCCTCGTGTACGTCGACGACTTGGTCTTTGCCACAGCTGACACTGCTGGACTCGCCGACGTGAAGTCCGAGCTGCAGAAGAGACACACGTGCACAGACCTGGGTGAAGTGCGCAGCTACCTTGGCTTGCAGATCACCCGGGACAGAGCACGCCGCACCATTACCCTGACTCAGTCACACATGGTGCAGCAGGTCCTTCAGCGCTTCGGCTTCACGTACTCCTCGCCTCAGGCCACTCCTCTGCCTACTCGCCACTCGCTCTCAGCTCTGCCTTCGGATGAGTCCGTAGAGTCGAGTGGCCCGTACCCAGAGCTTGTTGGCTGCCTCATGTACCTGATGACCTGCACACGACCTGACCTTGCATACCCTCTTAGCATTCTTGCACGCTATGTTGCTCCTGGGAGACACAGACCGGAGCACATGGCTGCAGCGAAGAGGGTGTTGCGCTACTTGTGCAGTACGTCGGGCATGGGGCTTGTGCTTGGAGGGCAGAGTCCAGTGGTCCTTACTGGGCACGCAGACGCTTCTTGGGCTGACGACCAGGCTACGCAGCGGTCGTCACAGGGTTACACCTTCAGCCTTGGTTCCGGCTCTGTTTCGTGGCGGGCTACTCGCTCGTCTTCTGTTCTCGGCTCCAGTTGTGAGGCTGAGATCTACGCAGGAGCCATGGCTGCACAGGAGCTTCGCTGGCTCACCTACCTGCTGACTGACCTCGGAGAGTTGCCTCGTTCTCCTCCAGTGCTGTACGTAGACAACAAGGCCATGCTGGCCTTGTGTCGGGAGCAGCGACTGGAGCACAGAACGAAGCACATTGCTCTCCGCTACTTTCTTGCTCGTGAGCTGCAGCAGCGTGGTCAGCTGCGTCTTGCGTACGTGGCCTCTGAGGCCAACACTGCTGATATCTTCACCAAGGCACTTGCGCCTTGTGACCATCAGCGCTTCTGTACTCAGCTTGGCCTTGTGCCTACCTTGCCTCACTTGCTCACCTCTTGACCTTGCTAGTACTGTTACATATATATATACCTGCTCTTGTTTGTCTAGCCTTTTTTTTTATATATATATGTGTACTCCTGCTTGTGAACTGGCCTTGTGGCCTTGAACTTGTGCTCGGAATGTGTGGTGACTTTGTGATCCACCCTGAGCTTGTTTTTGCTTTGCTTTGCTTGACTGGTCTTGTGACCCCTTGTTCTCCCCCACTTTGCCTATGGGGGTGTGTCAGATTTATATGACATAGCTACTGTAGGCTATAGTGGGGTAGCACATATGGGGTACAGTTTTCTAGGGTTTGCTTCTTGTACCCAACTTTCACTTAGTCATTTCATTCCTCGTTTCTTCTCACAAGAGTGCGGTTGCGGTTAGATAAACGCTGTATGAAGCGGTCTATAAAGAAATGTGTAAAAGGCGTTGGCTGTCTGTCCGCCGGCTTCAACCAGCAGTCATTCCGAGTGCGAGTAGAATCGGCAATGCTTACGCACCTTGGTCGTCTACGATCGTGTAGTTCGATCGCACGAGGGCGGCATACGATCGCGAACCGGAGATCAGCTTAGTGTCAGCATCTTGTAACACCACGATTTCCCCCACGCTCACCGTCAGCGACAGCTGCGACCACTTGAATTCCTGCGCGTCCAAAGAACGAAGTTGGTAAGAAAACATTAGGGTTCTGAATGTGAATCAGAACAGCGGATTGTCGGACAGGCAAAAAAAATAACTATAGGGGGCTTGCCTTAAGCAGGTTCGTTTTCTGTAGCTCCGTCGCAAGAGTGATGCTGTCAGCACCAGGAGCCATGAGCGTCACGGCATCGGGACCGAACAGGTTAGACGAGGCCGACGCCACGTCATCAGCCGCAAGAGCAGACACAAACGCACTCCACACCTTTTGAACGTAGAAACGCACGTCTCTCTGCTGCGGCTCCTCGTCACGACCTGCCTTTCCCTTCAAGTATTCCTCGTTGTCTCTCGCCGTTCTGACTTCGTCCTGGTGGCCGAAATGGTCATCCATTTTAAGAACGCTCGGAATGCGATTCCTGGCTTCCGCTTCCGTTTTTTCTGACGCCAGAGCTGCTCTTTTGGCGTCAGCAATTACGGATGCATTCGCAGAAGAAGCAGTCAGAGGAACACTTTTCGACGCGCCTCGCGTTTTCTCGTCGCGTGTTTGCCACATCAGCCAGTTGATGCCCCATTCAGAGCACTCCTGGTCGGTATCATCCTCGGTCCGTGTGATCTGCTCCCAAAATGCAAGAAACCTCCCCCCGTTGTTGTCACTTTGAATATTTGCCGGGCTTGGCGCCGATTGGAGCGAGCCGAGGACGACGAGGGCGTTATTTGCGGGCTTGTAAAGGCTGTTGAGGATGCGATAGGAGTGAAGAGTTTCGACAGTGAACGTCGCGCAGCGAAGGTGTCTCAGGGCGTGTTCCTTATCTCGGGGCGTGAACAGAATTTGCTCGGCTTTTCCGGGAGCCATGAAAACGGTCCGCGGCGAAAAGACGCGGCGACTGGACTCTCCGCGAAAGCTTAAGATCTCGCTCAGCCCCGCCGCAACGCACTTTGCGGCGACAGATTGCGACGTGACTTTCTGATTTCCAGGCGATTCGCCGGAATGCACGGACGGCAGGGTGCGTGCATGGGTGAAGCTGCTGATGAAGATGACCACTGCTAATAAGGGAAGCTGCAAAGCGGGAAACGAACTAGCAGCCATTGTTGATTGGCCTTTGAAATAACAGAAAGAGCAGAAAGAGTCTCTCTGTTGCGGCTGTTCATTGCCAAATGGTTTGTATGCAACACAATGCCCTGGCGGCGTGTGTTTTCCTGCGCTTGATCACCATCGTGAGATGAGGTTCGATCTCGCCGCACACGGCGCCAGGAAATTCTGGAGTCCTTACGGAGTTGGGGAGCCGGCAGGTCCAGGTTTCCTGCTCCCGCTCTTCCCTCCCCACTTTGCCTTCGGTTCTGGAATGCATCCCACCGCCATGCATTTTAGAGCAGGCTGGGTACAGGAATGCGTTGTAGGTGAAGGTCAATCAATGGCTGACTAGAATGTATGGCTGGAACTCGCGGGGGTACACTCCACCTCACATTCCACACGAGACGGAATCCTTCATCTGCTGTTCATACAGTACAGTGGCCTGACCTCAACCGAGCAGCCCTCTCCTGCTTGCTCTCCGCCAGGTACAAAAACCAGGAACCAGGAACGAGGAACGGCATTGATGGGAGTCTGGATGGAGGGATGGGTTGTGGAAAAGGGAAAATGCCAGCTGGGGAGGGCCTTTCCACTTTGACCCACTTCTGAAGACGGTTTTCCCCCTGCTCTATCCTTTTGACCCACCTCATCTCGATGTCGGTGGAAATTGGGAGCGAAATCATAAATATGGCTGTGATTCAGCTCGCCCACTACACCTACTCTCAGAATAAAGACAATAAATGAATAAATATCACATTTCACCTATAAATAAAACAAATGGTACTCGTAAAGCAATATAGGTACTTTCACACCCCAGAAGCTAATTGTAATGGATCTGATTCATCTGTCTACAGATTAGAAAATACTTGGTTGTGGTCTTCGTTTGGAACAAACTTATCGTTTTCGTAGGCAGCCATGGCCTCCTCCCTTGTAAGGACATGGCCATTTCCATTCCACATGGACCATGACAAGTGCCACTCTCGCTCATTAGTAGCACTTGCCCGCCATAGCTCCACTCTCTTTCCGTGCTCCGCGTCTATGCCTGCACAGGCCAAGTGGTTGAACCAGCAATGAAATAACAGCAGTGTCAGAAAATGGCTTCCACTTGAGAATTTCAAGTCGTGCAATGTATGCAGTTAGACTGCTTTCACGTACCTTGAGCATTTGCGATGCTGTATGTCGATCTGACAAGAGCACTGATGGTTGATGACTCTGAATTCTGCGTGGACTCGCTTCCTTGCAGCACTGCGACTTCCTCTACCATCACCGAGAGTGATAGGTGCGATGCCTTCAATTCCTGCATGTCCAAAGCCGAATTTTTTGAGACATCGATACACAAATGCTCCTGGAAAAGAAAACAAATACAACAGATTTTGGCATCCCTCATAAGAGGGAGCTTAGTGTGATGAGCTTGTAACGACCATAGAGCAAAATGGGGAAGGTGGGCTTACATTGAGCAGGTTTGCCTTCTCCAGTTCCGTTGCTAGAGTGATGCTGTCAGCACCAGGAGCCATGAGCGTCACGGCGTCGGGACCGAACAGGATAGACGAGGCCGACGCCACGTCATCAGCCGCGAGAGCAGACACGAACGCACTCCACGCCGTCTGGACGTAGAAAGTCACATCCGACTGCTGCGGCTCCTCGACTTGCCCCAGCGTCGCCTTCACCTGCGAAGGCTCGTTTGGCGTCTCGTGCTTGTCCCCGTTACGAGCTTCCTCGTTGCTGCTCTGCGCCGACTTGACGTCGTCCAGGTGTCCGAAATCGTCATCCATTCTCAGAACGTCTGGAGTGACGTCTGCCGGTTCTGCTGCCGGTTGTTCTGACGGCTTCGCTGCCATTCCGAGGTCAGGAGAGACGGAGGAATCGGCGGAAACGTTAGCAGTGAAAGGAACCCTTTTCGCGGGGAGGCCGTTCTCGTCGCGTGTTTGCCACATCAGCCAGCTGAGCCCCCATTTGGAGCAATCCTCGTTATAAGCGTCCTCAGCCGGCCAAACTTGGTCCCAGAAAGTGAGGAACCGCCCTCCGATTTTTTCACTTCCAGACTCAGCGCCAGGTGCGGACGAATGGACTGATCCAATGACGACAAGCCCGTGATCCGCGGGCTTGTAGAGGCTGTTGAGGAGGCGATACGATGTAACGGACTGGACAGCGAACGACGGATTAGGGATTGAGTCGCTAAGGCGTCTTAGGGCGTCCGCTTTATCCTGAGGCCCGAAGGACGTCCACTCGTCCGCTCCGGGCGCCATGAAAACGCTTCGCGTCGAAAACACGCGACTGGACGCTCCGTGGAAGCTGGAGAGCTCGCTCAACCCCGCGGCGACACATTTTGCGACATTGCCGCCGCGATTGGCGGCAGTGCCCGCATTTGGTGGAGTATTAGTGCTTGCCGATGCGGGTAAGTGCGGTATTCTCTGGGAGCTGCTGTGCATGGACGGCAGCCATCGCGCGCGAACGATTGAGGAGCTTGTTGTCGTGAGCACCAGGACGAGCAACAGAGCGGGGACAGGTGTTGTCGCAGCCATGGTTTCGATCGAAAGTAGGTACTACTACTACTGGAGTATGATACGCTTAGAGCCGATGAGCTGCGATCATATAGTTTCGTGGCTTGTCGTCTCTGCTCATCGAATGCGGCAGAACCTGCGGGGCGCAGCGCTTTCCAAAGCAGCCCTTTTCTCTGTTTGGCTTCGTCGGCCATGGGGACGGACGTATTCGCGCCACGTTTTTCCCAAGTCCGAGGAGGTCAACCGATACCACTGTAACCCTGCTCAGCATTGTGGTCTTGCTGGCGAGGCAAAGGCTGTGCTGCTGTACTTTTCTCATCGTTGGATAGCTTGTGCTCATGGCTATGTTGGTGATTACGCATATGTGCTGGCGGTGATAACGCGTGTAGGCGCGAGGGTATACACCTGGTCCGCGGTAAATTAACCGCCGGTATCTTAACCACGTTTGTAGGCATGCTGGGCGTTTTCCGTTGGGTGGCCAGAAATCGCTGTTCATACTTCGCCGAACCAAGTTGGGGAACTGCTGAACCTTTTTTTGATATTTCAGCTGACGCCGTGCATAGGGCAAGCAACTTTTCCATCGGACTATTTATGAGAGAATCTCCACCGTCGATGATTTTGCTTTCTCGACACTCGAACATTCCAGATGGTGAAAAGGTCCACAATGTTCCTCTTGAGGGGTAATGTCAAAACTTTTCATGCAGTTCAGATATTTGGTGGTGAAAATAATGACCTAAATTTTGCACCTTTATCTTCACCATTGCCAGACAATCCAAAATCCTGCTACCCATTTTGGCGCGGTTAAAGCCAGGATCTCAAGTAGTTTGGCTGGTGAATTGTGTTAGGCTGTGATTGGTTGACGAGGTAGAGTAGTTGACGAGAGCTGAAACGAGGGATGCGAAGCAAACAAAAATCGCAGTGAACTTCCGAACCAACTAGGCACGGAAATCTGGTTGGGTTCCGAAGCTCATTTCCCAGCAATGTGTCTCACTTGCCGAAAAATCTCATGCACAGCAATTTGTTTTGCAATTGAGATTCACGGGCAAATCGGGGATCAGTCGCACACTGAACCTCCAACCCAACCACTCGATTTCGCCTAAACAAACAGGGTGACTCGAGCTGCAAGTGTTTTGCAATTGAAGCCAATTGCTCTTACTTGAGATCCTGGCTTTAAGATACCGCGAACTAGGTGCAGTTTACAGTGCGGAATCGCTTTGCTGAATCAGCTAAGGGGCAAGACAGTGATTCTTATCTCATTTCTGCAAATCTGACTCGCCGAGGCATCGAGTGGAGGAGAATGACGAGCAATGCTGGTTTTGTTTTTCAACAACATCCTCGACACTGAAATTGTTTTCAGTCCAGCTGTCTTTCTGTCATGACGACAGAATGCTAACGAGTGGTTATAACCCGCCCTTAGTGTGGGTCGGCCTCCGCTAAACATTGCAACCGAAGAAAAAGGGACACTGCGTTGTATTGTAAAAATTACAATACTCCGCGTACCTCTGCATTTGGCTGGCCGGGACAAAAGCGACAAATTTACCAGCTGTTAGCCTATTCTGTGGATTCACGGAACAAGCAGCTCCACTTTTCTGTGGCCCCGATGTTCCTGTCTATTCAGGCTACGTGTTGTGAAACTCTGGCTTCTACATACAAATTGGCTTGGCAGAATGATTTTCTTCCAACAAATTTAGACATCAAGGCACATGAGCAAGCAACCACCATACATTTGTTGCAACCTAGACGCATTGCTGCAGATGCTGGCCACATCTAGTCAAGGCTTTAGTTTGCGAGCCTGCTCTGCTTCTTCGTCTTGCGGCTACCCTCCTCAGCCTGTTACAAAAAAAAAAAAAAAAGAGGAAAGAAAATATTAACCAATGCAGAAACGAGCTGCAAACCTTCTCATTGCCTAGACAACCCTTTCTGAAAAAACTCTAAAACATCTCAACACCTTAAATATTTGAGATACCTGCTCCAGCATACTTTCTGTGAATGTGCATGAAGCCTCACCTCTTTCCTGACCTCCGCCTCCTTCTCTGAGAGAATCAACTCAATGTGGGACGGGGACGACATGTAGGCTGCGCAGAACCAAAGGGACAGAGAAGAGACAGTAAGTAAGGGAAAGAGGAAGGAAGGGGAGGGAAAGGACAGGAAATGGGATGGGTATAACTAACAGGGGTGGGTATAACTAACAGGGGTGGGTGTAACTAACAGTTGAGCTTTCAGGTGGTTGCAGGGACGGACAGGGGTGTGGGCTGCATAATTTGAAATGGCGAAAAACTTGGACATATGCATTAGAGATCAAAGAACAGGGGCTTAAAGATGGCAGGGATGGGATGCAGAGACTGCAGGGTGGGCTGGGCAATGGGAAGAGCGGGTGGGAGGAGGGACGAGCGTGTGGAAGGCAAAAAAGGCTGGGAAGGGGCATCGCGAGTCGCGGAGGGGCGCGGTGGGGGAGGGGCGCAGTGAAGGAGGGGCGCAGTGGGGGAGGGGCGCAGTGGCGGAGGGGCGAAGTGGGGAAGGGGCACGGAGAGGGGGGATGTGCAGTGGGGGAGGGGCGCAGTGGGGAGGGGCTAAGCACTCACGGTTGATGCGACCGTGCGCGCGGTACGTGCGGCGGCGCTGCTTGGGCGCGCGGTTGACCTGAATGTGGCTTACGTGCAGCGAGTCCACATCAAGCCCCTTCACCTGATGGCGGAGAGAACGCGGGGAGGGGCGAATGGGGGAATGGTGTGGAGAGGGCGGGGAGAGGGCGCGGAAAACGGAGGTGAAGGGGTGAATGGACTAGGAAGCACGAAAGAGGGTCTTTTCTAGAATCCCGATTGACCAGTGTTCACGTGTCCGGTACAACAAGCATACAAGATCCTGAAACGTATTCGAGAAAGTCACGTTCTGAAACATAAGATTCCAGACGTTCTAAAAACCTGCCCCTCTCGAGTCGCCCCGCGTGCCACCCTTCAGTCCCAGTCCCGTTCTTCTTTTTTTCCGTTGCTAAGGCCTCCAGGCATAGTCGCCCACTCTCCCACCACCGCTTCCACTCAGTTCCAGTTTAAGACGTCTCGAACCACTTTTCCGCCCATTAGTCCCACGCTCCCTCTTCACCGTTCCTAAAACCGAAGCGGCACCACTCTACAAGTTCCTCTTTCACAACCGTTTCACGTCCGCTTCCGCCTCTAACCCCCCTACAGCTTCCGCCAGCGGTGCCGCGTTCCCTTCCGCTTCCGTTAACGCTACCGCTTCCGCTTGCGCTTGCGCCACGCAACCCGTACGCACAGAACCGTTACGGCACTCTACCAACATCCCCAAGAACGCAGTCTGCTAATGTGCAGCCTTGCGCGACAGGGCCCGTGACCCCACATACTGACGTCACGAACTAAGAATCGAACGGTCCACAGCTTCCGATCACTAGGCCCGCTCCTCTGCAGAACAACCCCTGAACCCCAATCAGCTATACTTCCTACCCCAGGGCTGCTCTCGGGGGTTCGTGAGCAGGATCAGCAGAAAGCGAGCGAGCATAAAGCAGACTCCAAGTTAGGCGCCTGCAACGCGCCCCTACGCGCCACTGGCCTCGGCGTTGCTCTCGGCGTTTCTTGAGCAGGTCGAGAAGGACGCGACCTACACACGTCCTCAGTACCGCCGCGTACCGACGAGCACCGACCGGTAACACAGAAGAGACGTACCTCGGCGTTGCTCTCGGCGTTCTTGAGCAGGTCGAGCAGGAAGCGCGCGGACTTGGCGGGCCAGCGGCCCTGGCCGTTGGTGTGGACCAGCTTCACCTGCGCCGTGCGCCCCACGCCGCCGCAGAAGCGGCGGAACGGCACGGCCTGCTTGTGCGCGATCACGTCTTCGAGGAACCGCTTCGCCTTGGTGAGATCCAGGTGCTTGATCGCCTGGGCTGTCTCGCGCGTGTTCTGATGAGGGAGTAGGGGGGGTGGTGGGGGGGAGGAGGGGGAAAGGAGGAAGAGCGGGGAGGGATGCGAGGGAGGGGCAAACAAGGGGGAAAGGAAATGGGAAAGAGTAAGGGGGACGGGGGTGTGGATTGAAGGAGGCGCGAGCCTTGATCAATCCGTGCGTTGGGAGTCGGTTTGGGGAGGGGAACGGCAAGGGAAAAAAAAAAGGAGGGCAACAGGGAACGATGGTTACACGGAATATGTGGTCTCATCTACTGGAAAAGGGACGGGGGAAGGGAATGGAGAGAGGAAGAGGGGGGCGGGGGGGGGGGGGAGGGGGAGGGGGGGGGGGAAGGGAAGGGAGAGGGGAAGGGAGGGGGAGGGGGGATCACTGTGCTATATCGATACAGGAAGTGTGATTGTATTAAGCAAGCAGGAAATCCAACACAAGGAATGCTGGAAGCCAATCATGACGAGAAGCGGGTGATACCTTAAAGTGGACGCGGAAGTATGAGCCTCTCGCCTTGCATGCTGCAACCAGAGTCGAACAGGGGGGGCAGAGGGGCGCAGAGGGGCGCAGAGGGGTGCCAAAAATGCAGACAGACGAGCAGGGGAAGGGAAGAAGGGAGGAGAGAGGGGGACGGGAGAAGGAAGAATGGGGGAGCGGAAGGGAGGCGTGAGACGACGACGAACCGAATGTGGCTTCAGGACTAAGGTCGCCCAGTATTTGCATCATGACATGGCAAAACTTCGTTCCTAACGCTACCCACGTAGGAACGTATCGTACTTAACACCAGATTATAACGTACACCAACCTGTCCCGCGCAATAGCAGCTATCTGAGTCAACCTGTCTCTATGGATTGGCATGCCGTGATCTGCCTTCACCAAGACGCCTCCGTCATTCCTGGGTTAATTTGCTAGTCTAGACCTGAACCCGACCGCTGCCCGCGGAAAGTGCGCGTCGTGCTTTGACATGCCGACTCTGGACGAGCGCCTATCACATAATGAACAACCGAGACTCCAAATCGCGGCGCGCTCGACTAGAATCGTCCACATGCCCTTCGAATGCTTGGCACTAGAGTGACTATCTGTCCAAATTCGGCCGGGGTCGCTATCGACACGATCCAACAACGAGCTCTGAGAATCACTTTATCTAGCCGAACGAAGGAGACGGCGACCAAAGGCTACATGAAAAACGCGGGGCGCCGATCAATCGCCCACTAGATCTAAGTCGCGAAGATTCGGGGTAGCAATGTGTTGCAGGGACACGAGATGCGATGCCGTGGAGTCTACAGGCAGAGCCTAAGACAGAACGTACATTTGGTGGCGTTGGCGGGTTCCCTCGCGTACTTCACCTGCACCACGAGAGCACACGAGAACACACGAATGTCATCGCGATGAGACGAAGTTGGGACGAGACGAATGAAGTCGGGATGAGACCGATAGGAAACGGATTGATATGAACACAGACGCAGAGTTGCGGATAAGATGGCGATCGCTAGGCAGCGACAGAGCAGTCAGCGCGGGCAGTGATCAGTGAAGGAGCGAGAAATATGTTGCGAAGGGGGACGTTTTGCTCTCGAACTTCAGTTCTGGAAGCACAAGCTATCACTAGCGGCACTTTGCAAGACGAAACGGAGCACGCGACACGATCGAATTGCACTAACGGCTTATGCCGTCCCTGACGCATTGCTCACCATGGTGACGTGTGGGGAGGAGGAAGAGAAGGGACAAGACTACGCGGGAAAGGAGAAAGAGAAAGTGGGAGAGGAGATTTTAGGGTTAGCGTGGAGAGGGAATTGGAGGCTGGGAGGGGAGGGCAGGGCAAGGGAGGGAGCTGAGAGGAGAAGGTGGGAGACGAAGGTTGGAGATATGTCCTCGATAAAAGGTGCAAGTGAAGGATGATGATTTCTACTTTAGCACACTCGTTTATTTCGAATAGAGATGGGTAGGATGGTTTCTGGGGTGTAGACGAAAAGCGGAGATTGTGGGTGAATCGTGGAATGGACTTGGGGACCTGCGATGGTGGTTGACCACAAGCTGTGATACTTTACGCGCTATAAAAAGAGGGGGCCTTCAGATTGTGCCACCATTCAACCATCCTTGTGTTTTCTACAAGCTGCAATAACTAATTCGCGTGACAGCAGCTCGCCTCGTTCCAGCAGCATGCGGCTCGTATGTCAAATGTGCGACTCGGAAGCAATCTCAACAATTTCAAACAAGCTTCCAGTCTGGAATAGCTGCCGAGTGACACTTGTTCCATACCCATCACCTCATTCTCACGCCAGGATTCACAGCTATGGCCGCCAGTTGTGCCACCGACCGGGAACACGAAAGCACGCGATAGCGTGCCGCTTCTAGTTTCTCGCGTCGTTTCCCTGAATCATCTACATCATGGGCTGATATTCCCGCTGAAAAGGCCTGCCGTTTCCCACTCTAACCCGTCTTCCTTTCCCGGATCCCTTGCGAATCCTTTCCCACCCGTGGCTCGAATCCTTGAAGGATCCACAGAGCCCTCACAGCTATCCGCACCACCATGGTTCTCCTCTTAGCGTTCCTGATTCCTCTGATAATCTCCATCTCAGGTAGCGCAAATGGCGCCGGAACTTCCGGTCTGTCAAGCAGGCGAGGGCTGCAGCAGGTGGGGCAGCCGACATGCCCTGCGCAGTGCCAGGTGGGCCCCCGAGGGCCACTCGACGGCTGCGACTTCGCCTTCGAGGGCTCCCTTGACTCCATCCCCACGTTCGAGTGAGTTCTCACTTGCACGATTCCTGGTGAATGTTCCTGCCTATCATTCGTCACTACTACTATAGTATGAATAGTTGCTTTGTCTGCTCGTTCAGTTTTAGTACTTCTCCTTGTTTCTGAAAGAAATCGTCTGATGTCCCTTGGAATTGTCCGTTTAGTGCTATTGTGGCGTGGTACAGTGTCTACTCTACTTTGCCTTCTTCCTTCAAGATTTCAAGAGCGATTTGGACTGTATTCTCTTCTGATCGTTTTCTTTAGTACGGATTATTATGGTCAGACCCCTCTACCTACGGCATCGTGCCACCGAGCGCTGCTTGAGGCGACTTCTAAAGAAGCTCTCTCTCGGTGGTGAAGGATGGCAGCGCTGCGACCGTCTTGGGTACAGCGCAGCAACCAAGAGGCCCTCAGGGTCTGTTGGTCCTGTTGATTCAATCAACAGAGGCTCTGTTGATCGAACTCAGAACTCTCCTCACCATCCCCTCTCCTCCTCCAGCATCTTGCCGTCCAACGCCACTACGAGCAATCTCACGAGAAGCCCGCCAGTGGGTGATAAGGAGTGCGGCGGGGTAACGGTGTCTAGCAAAGCATGGTGTGTTTACTTTGCCATTCCAACCCCTCCGGTTCCCAAATCAGCATCGTGCCACCAAACGCTATCGTAGGCGACTTTGCGATAAGCCCACCAGATGTGGTGAAGGAGGGAGGCAGAGAGACCGTCTCCGATTCGAGCATCGCCACCAAATTGACTAAAAATTTTGCTCTCCCCCCTGTGTGTGCATCCCAATCCAGCATCGTACCGCCCAATGCTACTGCTGGTGATTTCGCCATCAGCCCAGCAGTGGTGGTGAAGGAGGGCAGCGGGGTGACCATCTCCAGCACGGGCATCGCCACCTTCTTCTGCACCACGGCGCTCACGGGCCCGTGCGATGCTGGTAACCAGTTCTACATCACCTCCGAGGGCAACAGCTCGCGGGTCTTCGTGCGGTCCTTCAGTCAGGTGGGTCTTTGCACAAAGTGGGTCTTACAAATTGCAGGGAACACTTCCCGTTGTCAAATTACACCCCTTTTGAGGCGCCTCAAAAGTCCTCGTATACGCCTACTTGCTGGAATTTCTCTCTCCTCACACGTCATGAGATGTGCTTTGTGTGTGGCCCCTCCCGTTTCTGCAGCAAGCGGTGGCGTTCTTTCAGAACCGCTGGGTGCGGCTGCCCATCCTGACAGCTCAGATCCCACAGGGCGGCACGGTGCTGAACATCAACCCCGGCGACAACAACCCCACGTACCCCGAGGCCCGCCGCTACGTCGTCTTCAAGACCGGCCCCAACCCCCCCAGCACCTCCTCCTGCTGCCCTGCCAGGGCCATGCGCCCCCCTCCTCCCCATCCCAGAACCTAGAGGAATCTGGAGGTTGGATTCATTGCCCTCGGGACCAATGGCGGGCTGGAATATAGTTGTTCGGATATACCGGTAGGTTAGTGGGCGATGTGAGTAGAGTTAGGGTTGTGATGTAGCAGGGCGGGGTAAAGTGTCTGGAGGGGGGGGGGGGGGGGGGAGGGGGAGGGGGGCACGGGGCAATGGGAAAGGGAATAGAGCATATGTTCAAGAATCAATTAGTGGATGTTGCATTTTAGAGTTCTTACCTTCTCATCTCTACGTTGGCTGGCACGAAAGATAGGTTTAAGAAATGAAAAATGCTAGTCCAAATCCATCTACAGCTGTTCAGGTTGTGTGGTGGATAAGGGTTTGGTATGAAAAGAAGAACATTGTACCGTACTATTTGAATTTGAATAATGGACAATTGATTGTTTTATCTCAACTTATTGCCGAACTTGTAATGCAGAGCATAAGACATCTCACGGATCACATGGCACTGACATCGAGATTATCTTCACGATAACTAAGTATGCTATGATCTGTGAGCAGCCTATCGCGTCTCCAAGCTGCACATTACTCGCATTGGCCACGCAATTCTGCGATTGGTCGAAATGGGTTCCACCTCGTTACCGTGTTGGTGTCATTCCGACGCAAAGGTCGTAATTAATTCGCGGATATTCAAGGTCCGGTCGTCGACCTCAGCGAGCATGCATACACCGTCGTCGCGAACGTCGTTAGGGTTCACTCGCGACGCGATCCGGTCGAGGAATGTTACTTGGAATCTCGTGGCAATCGATCCCAAAATTTCCGGCACACATCGCGGTTTGCAGCGCGCCGTTCGTCCAGGCATTTGTTACCACAACCGGAATAAGCACTTGCATAATGCGAAGGGGATTCGATATAAGAAAGTGCTCGTCAGGGGTCATAAGCAGCAACATTCGCGAGGGTATGAGAGTAAAGTTCAGGAGGAAGCGGAAGGCAAAGGGGAGGGACTCCATGTTGGCGTGATTGTAGAGAATGCGGACGTTGATGAATCAGATTCACGCGCTCGTGCCGTTCGGCATAGTCACGCTCACGACGTGCCTTTTGGTCATGAACATGCTCATGCTCATACTCACATTCATGACCAGAATCATACCCATGATCAAGATCATCACCATGGGCATGGCACACGTTCACATGACCATGACCATGACCATGACCATGACCATGACCATTCACACGATCATTCACATGACCATGACCATGACCATTCACGCGATCATTCACACGATCATTCACATGACCATGACCATGACCATGATCATGACCATGACCATGACCATGACCATGACCATGACCATGACCATGACCGTGACCATGACCATCACACACATTCACACGATCATTCACATGACCATGACCATGACCATGACCATGACCATGACCGTGACCATGACCATGACCATCACACACATTCACATGACCGGAATCATGACCATCGTAGACATGATCAGCATCATAATCATCATAAACATTCACATTCACATGACCAAGATCATTCACATTCACATTCACATGAGCATGAGCATGGGCATGGGCATGGGCTTGGGCATGGGCATGGGCATGGGCATTACTCACATTCACATTCACATTCACATGAGCATGGGCATGAGCATGGGCATGGCCATCACACACATTCACGAGCCCACACCCAGACCCCTGTGCACAGTCACGGCTCCTCCCCACCCTCCACCCCTCCCACCTCCTCGCACACTCCCCCCTCATCACCGCACCTACGAGCACCACATTCCCACCCATCCTCACCGCATCAACCGGTATTCCTCCCATCCACGTGGCGCCCACGTAACCCCCCACTGAAACGCGGGGAAGGTGTGGGGAAGCTTCTGTTCATAGACGCACACGTGGCGGGGGCAGCAGGGGACATGCTAGTAGCAGCACTGCTTGACTTGGGCGTGCCGACAACAGTGGTGGAGGGGGCAGTGCGGGCGATGAGGCTGAAGCATGTCACGCGCAGGGTGGAGGCTACCCAACGATCCGCTATCACTGCTCCCCTGTAAGTGCTGTTTCATGTGATAACAACATTGATGCAGGGGACATGCTAGTAGCAGCACTGCTGGACCTAGGCGTGCCGAGAACAGTGGTGGAGGGGGCAGTGGAGGCGATGGGGCTGTCTCATGTCACATGCCGGGTGGAGGCCACTCACCGATCTGCTATCACTGCTCCGCTGTAAGTGCTGTCTCATGTGATAATAGCATTGACGCAGGGAACATGCTGATAGCAGCACTGCTGGACTTGGGAGTGCCGACAACAGTGATGGAGGGGGCAGAGGAGGCGATGGGGCTGTCTCGTGCCACGTGCCGGGTTAAGGCCACCCAACGATCCGCTATTACTGCTCTGCTGTAAGTCTTGGACAGCTGTGAAAGAACCGGACAGTGGGGGCGATGGGACTCTCTCATGTCACGTGCGGGTGGAAGCCACTCAACGATCCGCTATTGTTTTGAGATATGAATGTCCTTACACTCTGCTCTGCTGCTTGGATGTATGTATGAAGGCAGGCAGCACCGTGTGTACCACCACATTACCACCATCGTCTGTATGAAGGCTCTTGGATGTCATGTCAGCTTGGCTTATTCTATCATCATCATCACATATGCACATACACCTTCTTCCCACTTTCCTGGTACCTTCCTCTTACCCTTTCTCGCATTTTCCTGGCAGCTTCTCGGTGGATGACGGGGCGAACCAGCCATACAGGGACTACGCGGCCATCCGCCATCTGCTGGCCAATAGCAGCCTGCCACGTGGCGCCAGGGCCATTGCCAGCCGGGCGTTTCGGCTGCTAGCGGAGGCGGAGGCGTGTGTGCATGGCATGGCCGTGGATGACGTTCACTTCCATGAGGTGATGGATGGGATGGTGATGGTGATGGTGATGGTGATGGTGATGGTGATGGTGATGGGGATGGTGATGTGGAGGTGTAATGTATGTATAAGATGATCATGCACCTGTGCAAATGCACCTATGCCCCTGTGTTCCCATGTTGTTCTTGCTGCAGGTGGGGGCGGTGGACAGCATAGTTTACATGGTGGCGGCAGCAGCAGATGTGCGTGGATTCTTCTTCTTTCTTCCACTCATGCACCCACATGCCCATACCACCCATGCACCGATGACACCTATCATGCAGGTAGGAGCGGTGGACAGCATAGTGGACATGTTGGCGGCAGCAGCAGCCATTGACTACCTCGCACCATCGCACATAGCAGCCTCGCCCCTACCCATGGCACGGGGCATCATCGCTGGCGCTGCTCACGGCCCCCTGCCCTCCCCTGCTCCTGCTACTCTCGAGATCCTGTGCCGGTGAGTCGGTTTAATCGATCCGGTCAATGCAGTCAATTATCCAGTCAACCCATTCAACCCAGTCAACTCAGTCGATCCAGTCAACCCAACCAACACAGAGAGGTTACCCTGTTGAGTTGAAGTCACCACATGGCTCCCTGCCCGCTCTTGCCCCGGCCACACTCACGATTCTGTGCTGTTGAGTCAGCCCAATCATCTTTTGTCACTGCAAACCCTCTATCCCCTTCCATCCACCGCCACCTTCCCAACAGAGCGTCTATCCCCACATTCGCTGCAGGGTGTTAGGGCGAGTTGGTCACGACCACAGGAGCGGCTCTCCTTGCCGCCATCACCCACGCCTGGACCCCCTTTTCCCTTCCATGTACTCTTTCCCTTCCTTCTATCTTCTCCTCCTCCTTCCCTCTCACAACGGGGCCAATTTCCCCACGTTTGCAGCAGGCCAAAAGGGCGAACTCGTCACCCCCACATAAGCATGCTCCTCGCTGCCATCTCCCACATCTGCACCCCTTGGCCTGACGGGCCCTTGCCATGCCCCCACCCCCACCCCCCTCCTCCTCACAACAGGGCCAATATCCCCACGTTTTCAGCAGGGTGCAAGGGCGAACTCGTCACCCCCACAGGCGCAGCCCTCCTTGCTGCCATCACCCACACCTGGACCCCCTGGCCTGACTGCCGCCCATGCCGAGCCTCGTACGGAGCTGGCACCAAGGTTCGGCAGGACCGACCCAACCTGCTACGTCTGGTGCTGGCAGACCCAATGTGACACCATTTCTCGTGTTTTGCATCAGAGCAGAATACCATCAAGGCATAATATCGGTACCGGTACAAATGTTTTCGGGAAGTGACAAGGACTACCGTAAACTGGCCAGGCCTTTGAAGGCAAGGGTTTGTTTTGTACCAACAACGTTGACAGCATAAAACAAAGGCACTAGAATACAGGTGGAACAGCAGGTCAGCGTTGGTATCATGGCACACCACACCACAGATTCCCCCAACATACCAGCTTGGGGCGCAACACGAGAAGAACCTTCCAGGTTTTCCAACAGCCCACTGTGGCCCCTCTCATCACATCCTCTCGAGTTTCTCTCAAGCTTTGAATCCTCTGAATCTTGCAAGGAAAGGAGCCATTCACCCACACCCAAGAATGCACTTCCTTGAGGAGTGGAAATGTCAAAATGTTATATTGCTTATATTGTGTAGGCTGTAGTGGGGTTCAAACCCAATTAGGTTAGTACTTGTACCCAACTCATTCATAGTTCATTCATTCTAGTTCAGAATTCTGACATGGTTTCAGAGCAGGTCCTGTTCTAGGACCGATTTTTTTTAGGGCCCACCACAGAGCGCTGCCCCACTAGTCGCATCGCCCTGCCCTTCCTGTCGCGTCGCCCTGCTGGCTGTCGCGTCGCCCTGCCCTGCCCGTCGCGTCGCCCTGCCTGCTGTCGCGTCGCCCTGCCCTGTCAGTCGCGTCACCCTGCTGGCCGTCGCGTCGCCCTGCTGCCCGCATGCCGCATTGCTGCCTGCGCGTCGCTCTGCCCTGCCCGCGCTGAGCCGCCCTGCTGCCCGCACCGCTCTGCTGCGCGCCACCCTGATGCGCGCCGCCCTGCTGCTGCCCGCCCTGCTGCGCGTAGCCCTGCTGGCCGGCGCCCTGCTGCCCGCACAGCCCTGGTGCGCGCCGCCCTGCTGCTCGCGCCGCCCTGCTGCTGCCCGCCCTGCTGTTCGCCGCCCTACTGGCCGCCGCCCTGCCCTGCCCTGGCTGCGCACCTCTCTTCCCTAGCCGTGCGCCGCCTCTCCCTGCCCTGCGCGCCTCCCTAGTGCTCGCGCGCCGCCCTGCCTGCGTTCTGCCCTGCTGGTCGCGCGCCGCCCTGCTCTGCCCGCTATGGCTTCTCTCAGTGTACTCACATTCGACCATGAGGGCCATCCAATCCAGTTCGATACGTGGCTCGACGACTTAACAGCTGTACCTACTGAGCGACTCTATAGACAGCTTTTCGTTGTTTGACCACACGTCTGGAGCCTCTCTCGCCCCTCCCGCCACAGCTGACAGTGCGACTCGCTCACCGTGGCTTACCTGTGACGCTGCTGCTCGCTTTACCGTTCGCAACCACCTGCCGTTAGCCGAACGCGCTCACTTTGGCCAACACAAGACTGCTAAGGCCCTGTACGACGCCGTAGTCGCTCGTTAATCCTCCCCTACCACTGCTGCTTTCGGTCGCCTTATACTGCCCTACCTGTTTCCTGAGCTGTCAGCCTTTGCCACAGTCGAGGACCTGGTTACCCACCTTCGCACTAGCGACGCTCGCTACCGCTCTGCCCTCCCAGCCGAGTTCCTAAACAGGAACCCCCCCCCCCCCCGATGTACATCACTCTCTACTTCATAGTCACCCGCCTCCCTGACTCTCTTCGCGCAATCAGGGACTACTTTCTCGCTCTTGACCCTACAGACCTCACTGTCAACCTGCTCGAGAAGCACCTCCTTGCAGCTGAGACTAGCATAGTTGCTGTAGGTGCTGCTCGTGGCACTCCTCGCACACCCTTCTTTGAGGGGTGTTCCCCCTCCCCCCTTGTCCCCTCCTACGCTTCTGCTGCTGCTGCTGACATCCTTGGTGCTGAGGATGTCGGGGCTGCTTCTGCTCTTAGTGGGAAGCACCGCAGCAGCAAGGGCAAGGGTGGCAAGAGTGGTGGCGGTGGCAGCGGGGGTGGTGGTGGTGGAGGCAGTGGAGGCAGTGGGGGCGGTGGAGGTGGCGGAGGTGGTGGCAGTGGTGGGAGTGGTGGCGAGAGTGGGGGCTTCGGTGGCGGCGGTGGTGGCAGCGGTGGGGGTGGGGGTAGCAGTGGTGGCGGCAGTGGGAGTGGTGGTGGCGGCAGTGGTGGCGGTCGGGGTGGAGCTGTTCAAAGGGGAGGTTCTGGCGGTGGCCAGATGCAGCAGCAGCAGCGTCATAGCGAGACCCATACGCCTCAGCAGCTTCGTGAGTGGTTTGCTTAGCGTGGGGCGTCTGGGGGTAGTGTTCGTTGCTCGTATGTCATTCGCATAGGTGACCGCGCTGGTCAGACATGCGGGAAGCTTCACACTCAGCACCGCTGCTTCTCCCGCCTTGATGACGCTTGGCGCGCAAAGTTTGGCGACGAGGCTGAGCGCCCCCGCTGGGCAGAGCTGCTTAGGTCTGGAGTTGATATCTTTGCTCTTGACTATGATGCTATCCTTGCTGCCATGTATGCCTTGTCTGTTAGTACTGAGGGTGACTGTTACCTGTGTGTGCCGCCCGACCCAGGTATAGAGGCTGCTGCTTAAGGTGCTAGTGAGTCTGCTCTCCCTAGTACTGCGCCTACTGAGGCCTTGCACACCTTTACGCTTGACTCAGGTGCTTCCCGCTATTTCTTTTGCGACAGTACCACCCTCACTACACTCCCTGCACCTGTTCCGGTAAAACTAGCTGACCCCTCAGGGGGCCCAGTTCTTGCCTGTTCTTCCACTGTTCTCCCGTGTCCGGTGGTTCCATCTGGCTCACTCTCAGGTCTTCACCTCCCCTCGTTCTCTATGAACTTGGTGAGTACCGCTGCCCTCCAGGATGCGATGGTCACTACCACCACTCCTGGGGGTCAGCGTGTGTCGATCTGCACGTGTACACGTACGGGCAGTCACCTGGCCACGTTCACCCGTCGGCCTGGGTCGAGTCTATACACACTGACTACTGAGCCTCCTCAGGTAACTGCGTCTAGTCAGGTGTCCGCATCAGGTCCGGTAGCAGCCACCTGCTCGTGTCGCCTCTTGTCGCACCAGACTCTCCTATGGCACCACCGCCTTGGTCAGCTCTCCCTGCCACGCCTTTGTGGCATGCACTCCCGCCTCCTTGTTTCTGGTCTTCCCAGGTCTCTACCTCCCCTCCCGCCCTCGCCTGCCCCGGTTTCTTCCCAGGTTTTGTGGCAGCGCGCCGCTCCTCACTCCTCCTCGTTTCCCTTGAGGACTGCTTCTCTGCAGACTCTCCACATGGATGTGTGGGGCCCAGCCTGCGGCAGTGGACAGGACCGCGAGCGCTACTTCCTGCTGGTTGTTGACGACTACACGCGTTACACCACGGTCTTCCCCTTGCGCAGCAAAGGTGAGGTCCCTCATGTCTTGATCCCTAGGATCCGCGCAGTCCGTCTCCAGCTCCACGAGCGGTTCCGTGCGGACCTTCCTTCCTGCGTCTGCACTCTGACAGAGGTGGTGAGTTCTCCTCCGACCTCTTACGGGAATTTTGTCGTAGGGAGGGCATTCTCCAGTCATTCACGCTTCCGGCCTCCCCGTAGCAAAATGGGGTTGCTGAGCGCCGCATTGGCTTAGTCATGGAGGTGGCTCGTACCTCCATGATCCATGCGGCTGCTCCCCATTTTCTGTGGCCGTTTGCGGTCCGGTACGCTGCGCATCAGCTCAACCTCTGGCCCCGTGTCTCCTTGCCGGAGACCTCGCCTACACTGCGTTGGACGAGGAAGGTTGGCGATGCGTCGGTGTTCTGGGTCTGGGGCTCTCGTGCCTTTGTCCACGATACTTTTGCGGACAAGGTCTCCTCCCGCTCTATTCCCTGCGTCTTCCTTGGCTTTCCCCCTGACGCGCCTGGCTGGCAGATTTACCACCCCATCTCGCGCCGTGTCCTCCCCTCTCAGGACGTCACATTTGACGAGTCGGTTCTCTTTTACCGTCTCTTCCTCTACTGCACTGCCCCTCTCCCCCCCCTCCCCCCCCCTCCTCCCCCGCCGCTCCTCCTTTCTCCAGGTCCCCCTCCGGTAGACCCCCTCCCCCCTCAGGGTCCTGCTCCCTCAGGTGTGTCTCAGGTAGACCCACTCCCCGGGACTGTGCCTGTCGAGGTCGCTGTAGACTCAGATGCTGCTAGAGGTGCTGCGTCTGGGGGTACTGCCTCTAGGGGTGCTGAGCCTGCGAGTGCGGAGCCTGAGGGTGCGGAGCCTGAGGGTGCTGAGTCTGAGGGTGTGGAGTCTGACGGTGCTGAGCCTGGGGGTGCGGAGCCTGGGGATATTGAGCCTGAGGGTGCAGAGCCTAGGGGTACTGAGTCTGAGGGTGCGGAGTCTGGGGGTGCTGAACCTAGGGGTACTGAGTATGCCGGAGGTCCTGTGGGTGCCTCGCCACGACTGTCTCCTCGGCGGGAGCATCTCTCACCACAGCAGCTGCGCGAGTGGTTTGCTCATCACACACGCCTTAGGAGTGGCGCTGCAGGAGCTAGAGGCTTTGCCGCTGGATGCACAAGAGCCGGAGGTACTGGAGCTACTAGTCTTGGAGGTGCTGGAGTTACTGGTGGAGCTGGAGACCCTGGCGCTGGATGCGCTGGAGCTGGAGGCACTGGCACTGGAGGCGCTGGAGCTAGAGGCACTGGAGCTGGAGACTCTGGAGCTGGAGGCACTAGCGCTGGAGCTGGAGGAGCTGGAGCTTGAGACCCTGGAGCTGGAGGTGCTGGCGCTGGGGGTGCTGGAGCTAGCGGTCCTGGTGCTGGAGGCTTTGTGCAGCAGCGCCCATTTTTTGTTCCGCCGCCGTCTTCATCTCTGCCGCCACCTCACTCGGTCCTTCGCTAGGTTCTTAGTCTCCCGTCTTCTACCGGCCTTACTCCTAGCTTGCTGTGTCCTCCGCTTCACCAGTCGCAGCCACTGTTAAAGCCAGACTCTCCACTGCCTGCTCCTTCTCCTTACGCTGAGCAGACAGACTCTCTTACAGAGCGACGTGATCCTGAGTCTCGTCCTGCCTCGCCTGTTCGTGCTGATTGCACTGGTCGTCGTGTTCCTCGTCATCATCCTCCTCCTGTCCCCGGCACTCGCGTTATGGCACTTCGTCCTTCCTTTGTTCCACTGCGAGTTCCCCTGCCATCTCCTCCTACGTCCTCTCTTCTTGACGTTCCTGACCCTGAGTCTGACTTAGCTCGTGCTGCCAGTCCTACTGTCCCTGGTCTTCTTGCCACTGTTGACATTGACCCTTCGTTTCAGTCCGCTGTTGCGTCTGCCCTAGTTGCTGAGCTTGTTGACTTTGTTGCCACCTGTCGTCCCGACTATGCCACTAGTCTTGTTGCTGAGTCTGAGTCTGACTGTCCTCCGTCCGTCGGGTGTGAGTGTGCTCTTGGCACGGACGTTCATGAGGACAGGCAGGAGGACTTTGAGTGTCTTGCACCTGATTTACCTCATCTTGTGGCTATGCTACTTGCACCCGAGGGAGACCCAGATGCACCAGACATCCCGACCCCGCGCTCTTACGCAGAGGCGATTACGGGTCCCTACTCCTCTTAGTGGCAGACATCCATGGACACAGAGATGGCATCCTGGAAGTCCACAGGCACCTACGTCGACGCATTTCCCCCTGCTCGGGCGAACATAGTCGATGGCATGTGGATTTTCAGGGTGAAGCGGCTGCCGGGTTCTCCGCCTGTCTTCAAGGCTCGTTACGTTGCACGAGGCTTCAGTCATCGACATGGAGTTGACTTCTTCCACACCTTCTCCTTTACCCCGAAGATGACCACTCTTCGGGTACTTCTGCACATCGCCGCTCAGCGTGACTACGAGCTGCACTCTCTTGACTTCAGCACAGCTTTCTTACACGGCAGCCTGCACGAGGAGTTCTGGCTGCGCCGCCCACCTGGCTGCACTGGGTCGTTTCCTGCATGTACCCAGTGGAGCCTCCGGCGGCCAGTCTACGGTCTCTGCCAGGCGCCTTGCGAGTGGCACGACACACTGAGGACGACGCTTGCGGCTCTTAGGTTTGCTCCTTCGACTGCTGACCCGTCGGTGTTTCTGCGCACCGACACTTAGCTGCCGCCGTTCTACGTCCTCGTGTACGTCGACGCCTTGGTCTTTGCCACTGCTGACACTGACGCACTGGCCCTTGTAAAATCGGAGCTGTAGATGAGACACACCTGCACTGACCTGGGTGAGCTGCGCAGCTATCTTGGCTTGCAGATCACCCGGGATAGAGCACAGCGCACCATTACCCTGACTCAGTCACACATGGTGCACCAGGTCCATCAGCGCTTCGGCTTCCGGTACTCCTCGCCACAGTCCACTCCTCTGCGTACCGGTCACTCGCTCTCAGCTCCACCTTCGGACGAGTCTGTAGAGCTGAGTGGCCTGTATCCAGAGCTTGTAGGCTGCCTCATGTACCCGATGACCTGCACTCGACCTGACCTTGCCTAACCTCTTAGCATCCTGGCACGCTACGCTGCGCCCGGGAGACACCGACTAGAGCACTAGGAGGTCGTTAGGAGGGTATTGCGCTATTTATGCAGTACTTCGGGCATGGGGCTCGTGCTCGGAGGACGGGGTCCAATTGTCCTCACTGGACACGCAGACGCTTCTTGGGTTGACGACTTGGCTACGCAGCGGACGTCACAGGGTTACACTTTCAGCCTTGGCTCCGGCTCTGTTTCTTGGCGGTCTACCCGCTCGTCTTCTGTTCTCAATTCCAGTTGTGAGGCTGAGATCTAGGCAAGGGCCATGGCTGCACAGGAGTTACGCCGACTCACCTACCTGCTGACCGACTTGGGAGAGCGGCATCGTTTTTCTCCAATTCTGTACGTAGACAACAGGGTCATGATTGCCTTGTGTCAGGAGCACAGGCTGGAGCACAGAACGAAGCACGTCGCTCTGCGTTACTTCCTTGCTTTAGAGCTGCAGCAGCGTGGTCCGCTTCGTCTTGCTTACGTGGCCACTCGGGCCAACACTGCTGATAAATTCACCAAGGCACTTCATTCTGGTGATCATCAGCGTTTCTGTACTGTTTTAGGCCTTGTGCCTGCTTTACCTCACTTGCTCACTACGTGACTTTGCTTTTACTGTGATATATATATATGTATATAAATAAATATACCTGCATGCTTGTACTTGCTAGGGTATGATCAGTGTACTGTTTGTTCTCTTCTATATAACTCTGCATGTGAAATGGTCGTGTGGCCATTTGCTTGTGCTCAGAACGCGTGGTGACTTCGTGACCCACCCTGAACTTGCTTCGCTTTTCTTGACTGATCTTGTGACCACTCGTTCTCTCCCACTTTGCCTATGGGGGTGTGTCAAAATGTTATTGTGTTGATTTGTGTAGGTTGTAATGAGGTAGGCCATAAGGGGTACAACCCAATTAGGGTTAGTACTTGTACCCAACTCATTCCTAGTTCATTCATTATCGTTCAGTATTCTGACAGAAAATAGTGACTAAGGAACAGTGCACCTGCCTCAATTGAGGAACACTGTATCTGCTTCTATGAGTGCCAGCCAGGGGAGTGGGACTAGCATCACTCGAGCGCCAGCTTTCGAGGGGAGTGAGAGTGCGAATCCAGGACAGACGGGGCAACGAGGGGGTCGAGGAGGGCGCGCCATTCGTAGATGGTCCACTCGGCTGCAGCTATAGGCACTGCCACTCCATTCAGCAGGAAGGTTGGCGTTCCCACCACTGCTCTCGAGCACCCATACTGCACATTCATGGGAGGGGGGAAAGAGGAGGTCCGGTCATGAATAGTCCGGTCAGCCCCCTTTGAGGTGACTTTTGAGTCGACTCAAAAGTCACAGGGGAGGGGGGAAAGAAGAGGTTCAGTAATAATTAGTCCAGTCAGCCCCCTTCGTTCTTCACCCACCTTTCCCCATTCCCTATATCACACTCACTCGGTCACCCACACACCTTGAACGCGAGTCGAGTGCGCCATTCCACCTCAGCATCCAAAAATGCCCCCTTGAATCTCTCCTCGTCAATCCCGAGGCGCTCCGACGCGAGCCGCGCCAGCTGCGCCGCGACCTGCTCGGGCGTCTTCTGCCACGTGGCGCTCAGCGACAGGTCGTCCTGCGCGTCAAAGACGCCGTCGATCCAGTCGAATGCGAGCGAGCCGTTGATCGCTGCGACGGCGTTGGTGGCCTGCGAGGCGAAGTAGGAGTTGTGGTGGAAACTGGGAGGGGGGAAGGCGGCGGGGAAGAGGAGGAGTGTGGGGTGGGAAAGAGAGAGACGGAGAGGAGGTGAGCGAGCCGTTGATGGCCGCGACGGCGCTGGTGGCCTGCGAGGCGAAGTAGGAGTTGTGATGGAAGCTACGTGGGAGGAGAGGGGAGGGAGTGAGGGGGGGTGCGGGAGAAAGAAGGAGCGGAGCGAGGGGATTAGGCGGAATGATGGTAAGCTTGGGAAAGGGAAAGGAGGTGACTTTTGAGTCGACTCAAAGGTGCGGGAGAAAGAACGAGCGGAGCGAGGGGACTAGGCGGAAGGATGGTAAGCTTGGGGAAAGGGGAAGTAAGGGGCCGACTGCTTTAGAACCTTGACGAATTTTCAAAACGGGGCTATCGAAGCTCACGCGTTAGAAAACAGATGAACGACAAATCGGAGCTGCTTCGTCCCGTAGAACTTCGCCACGTGGCGCAACACGGGCCACGCGCTCTGGCAGGACGGACACGTCAGATCCAAGAAGGCCTCCAGCAGCACGGGCTGCCGCTCGCTGACGTCAGCACCGTACACCAAGCCGTCGTACTGCGAGGGGATGGGGAACTGCGCTGACGTCAGCATACACGGCGCGGCGACGACGAGAAAGAGGCAGCAGAGAGCGACGCGACGGGCGCAGATTGAGAAGCCCATGGCGGCGATTGCCGGGGCGGCGGCGGTGGCGGCGGCGGCGCAGATGTAGAGTGAGAGTGACGAGAGAGGTCCTGCGCGCGTGCGAAAGGGGCAGAGGAGGATCTCCCAAATAGACCGTCTCTCGAGAATCTGAAATTCTGAGGTCGGGTTCTTGGATGAGAGGAAAGGGAAGATGAGCAGCGAGGGACGAATTTGAATTCGCCCCCTCCCTTCTGCAAGCGGAATCTCCAAGATCTTCGCGGAGGCGAGATTTGTGTGCTGGTTCTTGTTGAACAATATTCGAAGTGGTAACAAGCGAAAATCGTAAACAGAAGCCTGCATGGTGGTCCAGATTCAGCGAAAGCTGGCAGTATTTGGGGCGTTGGCGGAAAGTGAAAATGCGCTTACGGCTGGTGATGCGCGCAAGGGCGAAAGCCTGGTGCCTCAGGCGCAACAAATCGGGGCGGAACAAATTCAGTGCACAAGGAATCGGGGGCTCGTGAGGAACATCCGCGTTATTGTGATAAAACCTGAAAATAAGGGAGGTTGAAGGCAAAATCGAAAATTGTAACATCTCATAAATACTTCCACATTGCTTGCACAATTCCTCTCTTTCTGTCAGGGTTGAGTCCTTGGTAGGGATGTTGCACCTGGCACAGCTCCCCCCATTCTAGAGCTAAACGCTCCCGATATTCCTTCAAAAAGTGACCTGACTGCTATCGGTTGGCGATTAGCAGGAGCTGTGCGGGGCCGATGATTCCCGTACGGCTGCTCCTGCTGTTGCACCAATGGCTGCGAGTCTCCCTGTGCGATTATATAACTCGACGATGAAGGATGGTGGTTGCCCATGTATTGCCGCGTGTTACCTCTGTTACCGCTCCCAATCGCAAGTGCCGCCGCTGTCATTCTCTCCAGCTCAGCATCTGACGTGGCAAGACTGCTGCTGGCTGCTTCTCATGCTGACGTCAGCGAATACAGAAGGTGACGTGTCAAGAGACCCAGGAGAGACAGCTGGCATGTCATCCACCATCGATTGAACCTCCTCCAGGGAGGAAGCTTCCACGAAGGTTTCCACCATCCTGCGGCAGGGAGAGAAGATGGGAGGAGGAAGGCAAATGAGCATGAGAGGGCAGAAGGCAAACAGGCAGGTTGGTTAAAGCAGGCAGGGTGGGAAGAGCAAGCAGGCAGCAGCAGCGGATGAACAAGGAGCTGGTTGCACCAGTGAAATACTCCCACTCATGCCCTTTCAGGAATCTAACTCAGGTCCTCAAGCCCAGCAAAATGCAGGGCGCCAAAAAAATCCTCTCATCCCACTCATTAAAGAACCGAACTCAGCTTTGCACGACCCACTGACCTCTCTGCTGCCAGCGCCCTCTCTTCCATGGCTGCCAGCTTCTGCCTAGCGTCGCGGCTGCTCTCCTGTGCGATGGAAGAGGAGGGGGAGATGACCTATCAGGCGCATGATCGGATATATGAGACACAACACAACACAAGCTCTGAGTCGCCTAAAAAATGCTGGCAGCTTCTGCCACACGTCCCGACTGCTCTCCTGGAGGAGCAGGAGCCAAAGAGGAGAGTGGGGAAAGGACAGGGGAATGGGGAGTGGAGGTAACGGGAAAGGGGAAGGAAAGGATGCGACACTGCGCATGCCATGACAATGGCTACTAGAATCTATGACACTTTGTTACCACCCCAGACTACAGCAGAGAAAAGTGCATTGCACCTCTGCCCCAAACCAGACCAGACCAGACCAGACCACACAGTGCAGCACTGCACCACTTGACATACCGCGAGCATCTCAATGACGTTCTTCTGCGTCTCCACCTGCTGTGCGTTGGCCGCTATAATGTCCTCCATGTCCTTGGCTGCCCGCTCCAACCTCTGCTCCATGCACATGACGAAGAGAACGGGGGGTGAGGGTGGGGGGGTGAACTGAGTGAAATAGACGGCCTGGATGTGCATTGGCCACTATAATGTCCTCCATGTCCTTGGCTGCCCGCTATAGCCTCTCCCAGCAGCGCCCCCACCTTCCCCACGTCTCTCCTCTCCCACCTTGCCGTCTCAGTCAACTCAAAAAGCACTCTCTTCCCGTCCACTCACTCACCCTAACAAACCGCTTACCCACTCACCCTTGCAAGGCGTCCAATCTCCGCATCCCTCTCCTCCACCTTGTCCTGTAGCGCCTCAATCTCGCCTCTCATGCGCTCCTCCTTGCCCCTCAGCTCTCCCAGCAGCGCACCCAGCGACGCCACAACCCATCCAACAACCCTAGCCTCTCATGCACCCACCCACCTAGGCGCCGCTTACCCACTCACCCTTGCAAGCCGCCCAATCTCCGCATCTCTCTCCTCCATCTTGTCCTGCAACTCTTCAATCTCCCCCCGCATGCGCTCCTCCTTGCCCCTCAGCGCGCCCAGCAGCGCCCCCACCTCCCTCTCCATCTCCGCATCCTTGCCCCTCACCGCCTCCACCAGCGCCCGTGCTGCTTCTTCTTGTTGTTCTAACAGCAAGCGAGTTGAAGCTTCTTGCTGTGCCTCCATCGCTCGCTGCTGCTGGGCGATCTCCCTCCTGTGCGTGTCGATCTGCCTTTGGGCCACAATCAGTGCGTTCTCCAACTCATCAATCTGAGGGGACAAACAGGGAAAGGAGGAACAGGGGGAGGGCAAACAGGAGTGAAATCAATGAGGCCCCACCTCCCACCTCCCTCTCCATCTCTGCCCCTCACCGCCTCCACCAGCGCGCGTGACGCCGCCTCCTCCTGCTGCAGCAGCAAGCGAGTGGACGCTTCCTGCTGTGCCTCCATCGCTCGCTGCTGCTGGGCGATCTCCCTCCTGTGGGCTTCGATCTGTTTCCGCGCCACGATTAGTGCATTCTCCAGCTCGTCAATCTGAGGCGGAGGGAAAAGAGGCAACAGGGGGAGGTGGCACAGGGGAAAGGGGAACAGGGGTAAGAAACCAGTGAAGCCCCAACCCCAATCCCCACCTCCCTCTCCATCTCCGCGTCCTCGCCCCCCACTGCCTCCACCAGCGCCCGTGCCGCCTCCTGCTGTTCCAGCAGCAAGCGAGTGGACGCCTCCTGCTGTGCCTCCATGGCCCGCTGCTGCTGCGCTATCTCCCTCCTGTGTGTGTCAATCTGTTTCCGCGCCACGATCAGCGCATTCTCCAGCTTGTCAATCTGAAGAGGTCGAAGGGGCAACAGGGGAAAGGGGTAACAGGGGAGGGACAAGAATGGTGAAATCAAGGAAGTCCTTGCCCCTCACCGCCTCCCTCTCCATCTCCCTCTCCATCTCCGCATCCTTGCCCCTCACCGCCTCCACCAGCGCCCGTGCCGCCTCCTCCTGCTGCTCCAACAGCAAGCGAGTGGACGCCTCCTGCTGTGCCTCCATGGCCCGCTGCTGCTGCGCTATCTCCCTCCTGTGCGTGTCAATCTGCCTCAGGGCAACATTCAGTGCATTCTCCAGCTCATCAATCTGAGGGGGGAGGGGGGAAGGAGCAACAGGGGGAAAGGAGGGAGAACAGGGGGAGGTGGTACAGGGGAAAGGGGAACGGGAAGAGGGTGTGGGGAAAAGGGGAAAAAGGGGGGTGGGGAAAGAGGGGGCGGGGGAAGAGGGACAAAATCAATAGAATCCCCACCGTCCCTGCGCCATCTCCCTCCTCTGTGCCTTTGCCTGGGCACGAAGAGGGAACATGAGGCAACAGAATTCACCTTGAGCAAGTGCTCCACAAATTACCTTTTTGAGGGGCCTGAAAAAGCGGCTCTACCAGGGCATGGGGAGGGGAACAAGGTTACATGGGCAACATAGATCACAAGAAGCAAGCGCTGCAGATGTTACCTTTTCGGGCCAATTTCACAGTGGGCCATTCGAACGTTAGGGTTACCTTAGCAGCGAGCGTCTGGTTGGTGGTGGACTGCCCCATCTCCACCATGGCTGCTTGCAATGCCTCCGCCCTGCATGCATGGCATGCCATGGGGGGCATGAGACATCGCGGGCAAAAGCAGGATACACACAAAGGCTTGGGGTATGAAGTGCAACACGCAGCAGTAGAAATGCACAGGAATGTATTTTGAGGCGCCTCAAAATACACCTGAAGTGCAACACGCAGCAGTAGAAATGCACAGGAATGGGCAAGACCGAGTGCAACGCAACTGCGAGGCACACTCATTCCACTTTACTCAACCGTACTCCACCCTACCCCGCTCCGCATCACACCATCCCCGGCGGCTCACCTGAGGATGGCTTCATCTCTCGCCTCCAGTGCAAACACCAGCTGCTCCTTCAGCCACGCCACCTAGTGGAGGGAGGGAATGGGGGGGGGGGGATGGCACGAGCGGGGACGAGTTGAAGAGTGTGGTAGCACGACTGAGGAGCACCTGAGTATGGCTTCATCCCAGGCCTCCAGTGCAAACACCAGCTGCTCTTTCAGCCACGCCACCTGGTGGGTGCGTGGGTGGGCGGGGACAAGCAGTGACGATTCAAAGAATGTTGTAGCACGACTGCTGAATGTCTCAGATGGGTGTGACGACTGCTGAATGTCTCAGATGGGTGTGACGACTGCTGAATGTCTCAGATGGGTGTGACGACTGCTGAATGTCTCAGATGGGTGTGACGACTGCTGAATGTCTCAGATGGGTGTGACGACTGCTGAATGTCTCAGATGGGTGTGACGACTGCTGAATGGCTCAGATGGGTGTGACGACTGCTGAATGGCTCAGATGGGTGTGACGACTGCTGAATGTCTCAGATGGGTGTGACGACTGCTGAATGTCTCAGATGGGTGTGACGACTGCTGAATGTCTCAGATGGGTGTGACGACTGCTGAATGTCTCAGATGGGTGTGACGACTGCTGAATGTCTCAGATGGGTGTGACGACTGCTGAATGTCTCAGATGGGTGTGACGACTGCTGAATGTCTCAGATGGGTGTGACGACTGTTCCAAACAGCCGTCGAATCTGTGCGTGCACTGCGCCTCACTTGTTTGTGCCTGGAGCTCTGTCACCGCGGCCAACCAGGACGCACTGGTCTTGCAGGCTGACTTGGCTAACGCGTTTAATAGCGTTGACCGCCACGCCATTGCGACGGCCCTGAAAGGCTCACAGCTAGAACCACTGCTGCCATTGGTACGCTTCTCCTACGGCCAACCTTCCACACTGCACCTGAACGCAGCCTTTGACCACCCGCCCTTGCACAGTGAAACCGGGGTCCGCCAGGGGGACCCCCTCGGCCCCCTTCTTTTTGTCGCTGCCATGCACCCAGCTTTGGAGGCAGCTGCGGAGGCACACCCAGAGGTCATCTGCCTGGCCTACGCGGATGACGTCACCTTCCTAGGAGAGCCGTCGTCGTGCGCAGCTGCTTTTGACCACTTCACGGGCCGCCTGGCAGAAATCGGGCTCAGCCGCAATCTTGCCAAGTGCGGGGCATGGTCAGGCAGGACGCTCATGGATTGTCGCCTACCTGAAGGAGTTCCACCCAGCAGCAACGGTTTGAAAGTGCTGGGCAGCTACATCGGCACCCCCACGGCAACCTCCGCCTTCGTACGGTCCAGCCTAGAGGCGATGGGTGCGCCGCTGGGGTTGATTGAGCGGATGGAGCCGCAGCTAGCGGGACTGCTGCTGTCTCGGTGCATCTCTCGCCGAGTGTCTTACCTAGCTCGCATGACTCCACTGCCGTTTCTGCCCAAGGAGGAGTGGTCTGACTGGGGACGGCGGCTGCTGGAAACACTCCTAACAGCGTGTGGCATTAACCACCCGCGCGGAGACGAGGAAACATCATGCACATGGGCGCAGGCCTCACTCCCCGTGTCGCTCGGTGGCCTCGGGCTGACAGACCCTTATGTGGAAGGACGCTACAGCTTCCTCGCCAGCTACACGCAGGCGCAGCTCCTGCTTGACTCACTGGACAGCGAGTGCACCGGCCCATTGGAGGTTACCCGCGAGCTGATGCGCGGCCCCTACACTCAGACCTCCCCTTTGACTGAATGGCTAGCGGAATGCGAGGAGGAACTTCCACTGCCAGCCCAAGAAGTTCTGCAAGCAGAGAGAACAGCTCCAACTGCAGGAAAGCTGCAGCATGGGCTGGCCATGGCTATTCAGGACCAGCGCTATGCTGTGCAGGTGGGGGAGGTGCAGGGGTTGGGCCCGAGCCCCAACAATGGTCACACGCAGCGGATGTTGTCCCTGTCAGGGTGCGGGGCGGGAGATTGGTTAAATGCTGTGCCTCTCTTCTCCTCGCTATGCCTTGAGGCTCCCCACTATGCCAACGCGCTCCAGTTTCGGCTGGGGCTCCCCTTTGCAGCTCCCAGGGTTTGCAACTGCTCGAAGAAAGTGAAAATCCTTGATAAACGGCTCCCGAATCATCTGCTACGGTGCGGTACAGGGAGGGGGCGTACCAACACACACAACGAACCTAGAGACGAATGCGAACGGATGGCGCAAGATGCTGGCTTCATGGTGCATATTGAAACAGCCGCCTTCAGCCCATTGGAGGAGAAGAAGGCGGACCTAGCCTTACGTGACCGCTCTACCGGCACCGTCTACATCTGTGACGTGACGGTAACAGATCCCATCAGCACCCGCGATGAGAACGCAACCAAGGGGCGGGGGTGGGCGGCACGGGAAGCGGCAGACAAGAAACACGGCCTTTACAAGGACCGCCCAGAGTGGGTGAAGTTTTTCCCACTCGCGGTCGAGACATATGGGTGCCCATGCCCCGAGTCGGTTGACTTCCTGAAGCTGCTCACAGAGACGGCTGGTTTTGAGACGTCTCAAAACAAGTTGACTTCCTGAAGCTGCTCGCAGAAACGGCTGCTCGCAGAAACGGCTGCACGGCGGTTTTCAACGCCGAGCCATCCTCCTACCTACCAAGCTGCCAAGCTCTTACATCAATACCGGCAGCGCTGGTCGGTGGCTCTTCAAAAGGGGCAGTCGATTGGGTACCTGGAAAAGTGCAACATAGCAGCAGCGGTAGAAAACCCGCTACTAGAGACAGCGGGTGAGGCCCCGTCCCTTTGGGACTGCCTCTTGGTTCTTGATCATGCACTGGATCTTGCTTAGAGGGTGCTGAGCTGAGGAGTGAGTAGGAAGTGTAATATGTGTTAGCCCTACTTGTGTGATACCTATACCTTGCATGTCTGTTCACCTTAACTATCAATGAAAGGGCCATTAGAGAGAGAATAAAAAAGAAGCTTCTCCCTGGATTTCCCGAAACAACTCACCTGTGCCAGGAGCTCTGTCAGCAAGCGAAAGTTTTTTCTGTTGAGATTTTTCGAAACAACGCACCTGTGCTTGCAGTTCTGTCGCCACTTCCACCCGCACGTGCCGCCCTCCTCTGCTCTCCCCACCCACCTTCCCCCCCTCCACGCCTCCCAACCCCTCCCCATCCCTTCGTTCCTCCTGCTCCTCTCCACCCCCTCCTCTCCCACCAGCACCCCTCTCTGCCACTCTCCACACATCCGCACTGCTCGTCCTGCCTATCCTCCCATGCACCCTTGCCTCCCCACCACCACTGCCACCACCAAAACCACCACCAACACCACCACCAGCACCAGCACCACCAACAAAACTGCTACCAGAACCAGCGCTAGAACCAGTGCCACTGTGAGCAGCAGCATGACTTCTGGACTCCCGAATCGGAGCAGCAAGACCGGCCCTGTCCGTATGGTGGTGAGGAGGGGGATACCCCTCCCCTCCACCACCCACTCCCACTCCCACTCCCATGCCCATGCCCCCGCCCATGCCCAGCCCAGGGCTTCGCCTCTCGTTTAAGCTGTGTGGTCGAATGCCCCTGCCTCTCCCTCCCGCCGCTCTCCACTCCCTGCCATCCCCATTACTGCTCGCCCCTTTACTGCTATGACCCGCGCCCCTCCCAGCACTGGGTTGATGTCCGGAAAGTGACTGTGATTGTCGGAAATGTGACTGTAACGACTCTGACACCCATCCATCAACAACACCACCCCCTTTTGCATCACCACCCCTTCCCTCCTTCGCTCTCCCCTTCTCCTTCCCTCTGCTTCCCTCCTCTCGCCTCTTCTCCCTTCCCTTGTCCCTCTTGCCTTCCCGTTCTGTCTCTCCCTGCTCCTTCCCACCACTCCTCTCGCCCCTCCTCCCCTTCTCCTTCCCTGTACCCTCATCGTCCTGAAACAACCCATCCCCTTCCAAAGAAACTGAAGGAGAGCCGGGCGACGGGGGGGAGAAGTCGGATGTGGGGGGGGAGGATGGGGAGGAGGGGGGCGAGAAGGTGGGGGACAGATCTGACTCTATCTGTGACGAACCCTTGCTCTTACTCTTGCTCTTGCTCTTGATCTTGCTGCCTGTGGTGGCAGAGCTGCTTGCACTGACAGCAGTGACAGCAGCAGCGACACTAGCAGCAGTGGTGGTGGGAGCTTCGGCAGAACCTGCAGGGGCGGTGGCGGCAGCATTCGAGCTCTCATCTCTCGCATCCAGCGCAAGGGATGGAACCGGGTTCATGCGGTTGCTGCTGCCGCTGCCAGGGGCAAAGGAACCGCTTCGCAGCAGCAGCTCAGGAGACCGTTTCATCCGCTGCAGGTAACTGCTGGGAGCCGTTTCAATGGTACCAGCAGTAGCAGAAGCAGCAACAGCAGCTGCAGCAGCAGCAGTGGAAGAAGCAGAAGCGTTTCTTCCATCCGTCTCTCTCCCTTCCGCCACCGATGCCAGTGCTGCTGCTACAGCTGCTGCTGTCCCACTTCCCCCCGACTCTCCCACTCCTCTCACTGCTCCCCTCTCTGCTTCTCCTCCTGCTCGCCTAACTGCAGCTTTCGACGCTGATGCTGAAACCGACCCATGAGCATGACCATGTGGGCGAGGTGGGCCAACGAGCTCCTGCCACCTGGCACTACCCCATGGGTCCATTTCAGTGTCCCTCTCACCATCTGCTGCGATCCCTTCACTCCTGTCTCTCCCCCCTCTCTCCCCACCTCCGTCTCCCCTCCTCCCAGCATTGAATCCAGAGCCTCGACCACCGAGGCTGGGAGGGCCAGCTGAGTCCAAGCCTCTGCCGAACCAGCTGCTGTCAGTTCGGCGCCAGCTTCGGCACTAGCTGCGGTTGATTCGTTAGGATGGGAAGGGGCGTGTGAGGGGAACTGCAGCGGTTGAACAGGGCAGATGAGGAAAGAGGGAGCAGCAGGTGGGGAGAGGCGCGAGAGGGAGGAGGAGCGAGTGAGAGGGAGGGGAGGAGGGAGGGGATGCAGGAGAGTGTGTGGGGGGAAGGAGACGGGTGGGGGACGGCGACTGGGTAGCTTGAAGCTTGCAAGAGGGGAGTCTGGGGGAGTGAAGGACGGGGAGGAGAAGGCAGAGGAGGATGAGGACACGTCTCCTGGCGCCAATCCCCCCCCACTAGTGTCACCATCTCCGTTCTCGTTAGTAGCCCTCTCAGTACCAGCACTGTTTACCCTCCCCCCTGCACCTCCCCCTGCCCTTCTCCCTTCCCTTTTTCCTCCTGTTCGTCCCTCCTTCCTCCCCTTCTTCTCCCTCCCCTCCCTCCTCCTCTCCCCTTCATCCCCAAAGGCTCTTAATCTCCCCATTCTAGCGGCAGGGGAGGGGGAGGGCAGCACTGAGTCATCAAACGACGAAGGGATGGACAGCGGGGAGGCTTTGGAGGACGACGGGCCAAGAGGGGAGCCGAGCGCGGTGCTGTGTGGTGCAAGCCTCTGCAGAACGGCCAGCGCCTCGGCGTGGATCTTGGCAGTGCAGGTGCTGCGACAGCGCTTGAGCACCTCTCGCCTCTCGTCTACTCGGTGCATTATCGTAGGGCGGTGCTTGGTCCGCAGGTCCTGAGGGGGGGGAAATGTGGAGTATATTTCTTAATAGCAGTGCGTGCCAGTGCGGGTGCTGCGGCAGCGCTTGAGCACCTCCCTTAGCTCGTCCACCCGATGCATTATCGTAGGGCGGTGCTTGGTGCGCAGATCCTAAGTTGGGGGGAGGGGATGGGAGACTTTTTATACAGCAGCGCTTGAGCACCTCTCGCCTCTCGTCCACCTGGTGCATTATGGTTGGGCGGTGCTTCGTGCGCAGGTCCTGGGGGCAGGCCTGGTGGGGAAGAGATGTGGAAGATCTTTCTTAGTGGCACTGCAGTGCGGGTGCTGCGGCAGCACTTGAGCACCTCCCTCCTCTCGTCCACAGATGCGTTATCGTGGGGCGGTGCTTGGTGCGCAGATCCTGAGATGGGGTGGGGGGTGGGAGGACGGGGGGAGAGGAGGCATTGCAGAAGCATGCAACAGCAGCAGCAGCAGCAGCAACACGCCTCACCTCCAGCATGGCTTCATTGACGTCCATGTAGCCCACACACGCGGAGAGCACGAGCTGCGTGCTGTCGAAGGTGCTGCATGCACGAGTACCAGCAGCACAAGCAGCACTACAAGCAACAGTAGCAGCACAAGCAGCACTACGAGCAACAGTAGCAGCACAAGCAGCACTACGAGCAACAGTAGCAGCACAAGCAGCACTACGAGCAACAGTAGCAGCACAAGCACCACCATCACCTCTCACCTCCAGCATGGCTTCATTGACGTCCATGTAGCCCACACACGCGGAGAGCACGAGCTAGTGCATGGCAGCAGAACAATAGGAGCAGTAGTACCATCAGCACACGCACGTACCTCCAGCATGGCTTCATTCACGTCCATGTAGCCCACACACGCGGGGAGCACGAGCTAGTGCATGGCAGCAGAACAAAAGGAGCAGTAGTACCATCAGCACACGCACGTACCTCCAGCATGGCTTCATTCACGTCCATGTAGCCCACACACGCGGAGAGCACGAGCTGTGTGCTGTCGAAGGTGGTGCATGCACGCACGAGCAGCAGCACCAGTACCAGCAGCACAAGCTGCAGTACCAGCAGCACATGCACGTACCTCGAGCATGGCTTCATTCACGTCCATATAGCCCACGCACGTGGAGAGCACGAGCTGCGTGCTGTCAAAGGTGGATGCGGCCATGGACTGCAGCGCTGACATCATGTCCCCCGTCTCCTGCATGGACAGCAGCAGCGTGGCTGGGCAGGGAAAGGGTAACGGGGGGAGGGGTGGGGTTAGATGCCATGCCAACATGCGGCCATGGACTGCAGCGCTGACATCATGTCGCCCGTCTCCTGCATCGACAGCAGCAGCATGGCTGGGGGAGGGTAGGGTGGGGATGGGAAGGGCTGAGGGTTCGGGGAAAGGGTTAGAGTATGATGCCTGGAACTAAATAAACAGATGGGTAAAGCGTGGACGCTGCCACGGATTGAAGTGGCAACACGCTATGCTAGCTAGCACAGCACAGGCATACAACAGTGCAGATCAGAGCGAAGCGGAGGGGGATAGAGAAGAGGGGAGCGGAGCGGAGCACGTACAGTGCATGTCGAGGAGGGAAAGGCACGTGCGGAAGAGCATGCTGCAATCACAGCACCGCACGGCACCGTACAGCACAGCACAGCACAGCACAACACACTGCACAGCAGCACATCACGTACAGTGCATGTCGAGGAGGGCGAGGCATGTGCGGAAGAGCATGCTGCGATTGCAGCACAGCACCGCACCGCACAGCACAGCACCACACAGCACCGCACCGCACAGCACAGCACCGCACAGCACAGCACAGCACAGCACAGCACAGCACAGCATCACACCGCACGGCACAGCACAGCACCGCACGTACAGTGCATGTCAAGGAGGGCAAGGCATGTACGGAAGAGCATGCTGCGATTGCGCTCGTAAAGAATGACGTCCCACACCCGTAGCACTGCAGTGCAGATGACAGGAGGGAAGCAGAGGGGGCAAGGGGAAGCAGAGGTGGGAAGGGGGGAAGCAGAGGGGAAAAAGAAGGGCATGCGAGCATGCTGTGATGCGCTCGTACAGAATGACGTCCCACACCCGCAGCACTGCGGTTGACGGGGGGGAAGGAGGGGTTCAACCGAGAGGAAAAGGACGAGACAGAGTAAGACAACGAGAGAAGGGTGTCACAATGTGAACTTCGTGTAAGACGGGAAAGAATAGTTAGCCTGGAGAGAGAGAAGGAGAGATGCAGAGAGATAAGAGAGCAGAGATGTAGAAAGGAGACGAGACGACAAGGCCTTGCTCTCACCACTCTCCCTGCCAGTCCTTACCGCTCTCCCAGGGCAGCACGTTGACGAAGACAGAGAGGAACCAGGGCCCCGTGATCCATGAGATCTGCACCCCCATTGTGTCCATGTGCTCCGCTGCAAGGGCGTGGGGAGAGAGTGTGGAGGGTGGGCGCGAGGGTGGAGTGGGTGGGCGCGTGTGAAAGCAGGGCGTTGAGATCGACAGAGAGGAACCAGGGCCCCGTGATCCATGAGATCTGCACCCCCATTGTGTCCATGTGCTCCGCTGCATGAGAGGGGTTGTGTGGAATAAGAGAGCTGAGTAAGCGAGAGTATGGAATGGGCGTGTGCGCAATGGGTTAGTGTGGAGTGAGTGCATGCGTGAAAGGTAAGGTATGGCATATTGATAAGTACTACCGAGTGTTGACATGGCCCTCCCATTCATACCCTAACCGACCCTAGCGCTGATGACTAGCATGCCTGCCTGTTTGCCTGCCTCCCTGACTGCCTGACTGCCTGACTGCCTGACTGCCTGCCTGCCTGACTGGCTGGCTTCATGCCTGCCTGCCTGATTGGCTGACTTCATGCCTGCCTGCCTGGCGAGCAGGCATCATCACTTACCGAGTCTGGGGAAGTTCTGGCGCACAAGGTCCTCAAACACAAGCTGGTCCACCTGGTGAGAGAGGGAATGCAGGGGGCAGTCAATGGCAGGAAAAACGCCTGTCAACAACAGCAGCAGCAGCAGCAGCGTCACATGATGCCACTTATCGACCGCACCCACCAACGCTAAGCCACTGATCCTCATCCATGATTGTTCACCCCGCGACCTGATGCCCATGCCTGCTCACACACCCGTGCCTGTTCACTCACCCATGCCTACCCACCACTCCGCCCACCTGTCCCCCATCCCATCCACCCCATCCCACCTGAGCTTCAACCATCTCGTCAGTAGTACCCTTAGAGCAACTCGTCCACTATGGCCGTCAGCGTCCCGAGAGGTAAGGGGTTGACTCAATAGGAACGTCCCCATCTCACCTGTTCCCATCCCCCATCCCACCTGTCCCCACCCCATCCCACCTGTCCCCACCCCATCCCACCTGAGCTTCAACCATCTCGTCAGAGTAGTACCCTCGGAACAACTCGTCCACTATTGCTGTAAGTGTCCTGTCACACAGGAAATGCGGAGGAAGCACGGGGGTGGGGGGGGAAGTGCATCCAAGAAAATCAGGAATATGAGAAAACCAAGCATGGAAATGCAAGACGATTTACTCTTCTCCTTTCTCGCCACTCCACACCACACGTCTACTCCCTCCTTGCACAAATCCTACCATGTCTCCCTCGCTGCCCTCGATCTCCCCACTCATCCAACCACCAGAAGGCATTTTCCTCGGGTATGAGCAGCAGCAGCAGCCCAGCAAAAAAGTTCATGCCCTGGCAGTACCCTAAAGCGCGGTTGCCCCCCTACACCTCTGTACACACCAGATTCCACCCCATGCTCACCACCTGCCATGCATCCCTCCCTCCCTGCCCTCCCTCCACACCCTGCAACCCACCAGTAAGCGTTTTCTTCGGGCATGAGCAGCAGCAGCAGCCCCGCCAGGAAGTTCATCCCCTGGCAGTACCCCAGAGCGCGGTTGCGCCGCGAGTACGCCACCAGCAGCACACGAATCCCCCCCAAACTGCCACCCACCAGAAGGCGTTCTCCTCGGGCATGAGCAGCAGCAGCAGCAGCCCCGCCAGGAAGTTCATGCCCTGGCAGTACCCCAGCACGCGGTTGCCCCTCCACACCACCTCGCACACCTCTGCACCCCACCCAGCCTCACCAGAAGGCATTCTCCTCGGGCATAAGCAGCAGCAACAGGCCAGCGAGGAAGTTCATCCCCTGGCAGTACCCCAGAGCGCGGTTGCGCCGTGAGTACGCCACCAACAGCCGCCTCAGCGCGTCCCGCCCCTTGGCGTCCAGCGCAGGGTGCCCGGGGAAGGTGCGAGGCAGGTCCTGGGGGGATGCGGAACGGGGTGGGGGAGTGGGGGGGGGAGCGTGTGGGGGAGTACCAGGAATGGAGCTACCAGCAGCCGCCTCAGCGCGTCCCGCCTCTTGGCGTCCAGCACAGGGTGCCCGGGGAACGTGCGCGGCAGATCCTAGAGTTTCAAGGCGGGGGGGCGCAGGAGGAGACCGGGGAAATCGGAGGAGGAGAACTGGGAGAGGAGTTTCAAGCAACGACAGCCGAGCAGAGCTTCCGCCCCTTGGCGTCCAAGGCAGTGTGGGCGGGGAACATGCAGGGGGGGGCTTGAGACGACTCAAAACTCTAAGGCAGTGTGGGCGGGGAATATGCAGGGGGGGGTCTACGGGGAGGACACAACGGGTAACAGTCGTGAGAGCAGAAAAACCAAGACAGCAACGAGGACAGCAGCGACCCAATGCGTTATCATTCTGCACAGCACACCTTTTCAATCTGCACGGTGCATGCGACCTCGGCGTCCCTCTCATGGATCCGCGCTGTGATCTCCGCCAGGCTGCTGTTGGGCCTGTGCTCCTCCTCCCTGCCCGCATCCCTCAGCAGCGCCTCATACACGCCTGCCTGCCTCCTCGCCCCGGCCCCCACGAAGATCTGCCACATCTCGCCCCGCATGTTCATGGGTATGCCCCCCATCACTAGGGAAGTCAGCTCCGCCCTCCATGCCTCTTCAGTCACCACGCTCCCTCCCACTCCCTTGCCTCCTCCCCCTTCTCTTCCCTCTCCCACACCTCCTCCTCGCTCGTCTCCTACCGCCTCTCCTCTGCCCGCTCTGCTGCCCTCCCCGCTGCTCTCTCCTACTCGCTCTCCTCCCTCCTCACCTCTCACCTCGCCTCCCCTTCCTCCTTTCCTCTCTCCTCCCCTCTCTCCTCCAAAATCCCCTTCACTCCTCCCCCCTTCTCCCGAACTCCCTGCGTTTCCCGCGCCTGCAGCAGCAGCGCCCCTCAGAACGCGCTCAACAGCCCACAGCTCCTCCCTGAACCCTGAGCGGAACCTCCCCTCCCCGCCCCCCTCTTCCGCGCCTTCGCCAGAGGGGACGTCTGCTGCAGGCGCGGGGGTCGGCGCAGGGGAGGGCGGAAGGAACGGCAGGTCGCGCGCGCCGAGGAACGAGTCCCACCTACCCGACCGCTCTGTCTCCTCGTCCTGGAACGGCAGAGAAGGGAGGGGGGATTGGGGAAGAAGTGACGGTGGGCATAGGGTGTTGCGAAGGAGGGGATGGGAGGGGATGATGGGCAGAAGAACAAGGAAGGTATGGAAGGGCAGGTCGTGGCAACTGTTCACGGCATGGGTACACGGCTGAGTAGCCTATGACGGGCGGAAGGCATGTGGAACGTACATGGTAGACGGGAACGTAGGCCTTGTAGACGTCCACGTACTGTGGCTGCACCGCGAACCCGTACATGTCCCTGATGCATGGCGGGGCAGCAACGGCATCGCACCATACCATCGGGCCATCAAACCAACGTGCCCTCATCCCATCGTCCCATCATTCCATTGTGCCATCACACCATCACACCATCGTGCCATCACACCAACAACAACAGCATGAAGAGGCACACGCGTCAGTGACAAACCCCCGGTGTGCCGCATGTGTAAGTGACAAACATAATCGAATGCTCGCATGCACACACACTCTCACACGGGCCTGTGCACATGCCGATCACAATGACTCAGCTTCCAAGCTAGTCTATTTACGCACGACCCGGCGACAAGAATGCGATGTCCAATATAACATACGACGTCCCATCTGGTGGCTTCTGAGTGAGTCGACTCAGAAATCTGTATTTTCTGTGTTTGCGGTATGCGCTGACTAATACAGCACAAAGAATTATAGACATGCACTTAAGGGAAGAGCACACAGGAACAAGCTGGATAATGGTGTTTCTAGTATCTGGTATCTAACTGGCTTCGGAAAATGTCTTAAAAAAAGGGGACGCGAATGGTCAAGGCTGGTAACTAACTGGCTTTTGAAAGGTTCAGAGGAGCTAAACGCGAATTCTCAAACGCGGTACGAGCGATCAAACGTCAGGACAAGTTCCAGGATCACAACGCGCGTTCACAGTAAGAGAGGCGGGAGAATTCTCAGAGTCTTGAAACTACGACTGGAGGTAGACCTCAGAGGCATCTCAAGAGTAAGGGTAGCACGGAGGCGTACAGCATGCGTTCCGGGCGAGCAGACGGGGTTGGCGACGGCTCGTCCTGCTTCTGCCTGGCCCATGTCGCGTTGCGAATCATTTTCAGACTGAGGACTGACGAAGGAGCGACCATGACTGCTGCTGCTGATGTATGGGGTATGTTGTTGATGTAAAGAGGCAGCGAACATGCCAGAACTACAGAGAAGGCTAATAAATAGCTTGTCTAACTAGAATGACCAGAGAGGTGAGTAAACTAGCATGAGATTCCACCATTCCGACGAGGCAAACAGCATCGTGCTTCAGACTGGGAAAACGCCATGGCCAGAATCTGGCAGTAGCTGATTGAATGGTTCTTATCCTCCAGGTTGGGTCTTACAAACGGTCAAACGCTATGATATCATTGATGATAAATAATGACGAGGCTCCTGATGGACTGATAACATATGTTCCTGCTTTATCATCCAGTCCAGAACTCAACTCTGTGCTCTATGTTGGTCTGTGCTCGGAGTTCTCTAGGTTGGTCAATCGGGGGAGAGAACTTTGTTGGAGGTGTTTGTACAGGTTCGACACGCTCACATCATGTCACCGCAAACCGAGCCTCAGCAGGCTTGGAACACCAGGGAGCATAATTATGCCTCACCTGCCCAGCCACAGTGAGGTTCGGTATATTTCCGTAGCTGTCTGGTGGTTCCTTTTGGCTGGAAGACGAACGGCGAGTGGCGGGAGTGAGGTTTGGAAATGGGATAACTCCCAAGCGAGCTTGCCAAAAGAAGCCGTTTGTGTCAGAGCGGTCCGGCGAAACCAGCTTGGTTTGATTGCTCGGAGTCAGGCTGCCAAGCAGTCGCAATTGCCTGAATGCTACGCTACACTTCGCAAGAAATAGTCACACATAGAAATAACCGAGCGAATAGCTTACACGGGAGATCAAACTCGTCTACGAATTCGTCACAACTCCCTTCGTTAGAGCCAACATTTCGATAGTGGGGGCGGACTTGGCTTTTTCGAAGCTCTCTCCAATTGCCATATCTATTCCTCGCCAAAACCTCTTCAGCACTTCTGCTTCTCGCCTCGCTAAAGCCAAGGTGTTACCAGAGTTTCTGGTCTTCAGTTCCCGCCACCATTTGAACCTAGTCACCCCGGGTCACGGCCAGGGATTAGCCATGGTGAGTAGCCTCCTCGCTCTTCCTTTTTACCGCTACTGTACGAATGGAATTGCCGCGAATTTCACGGCTTTGCTCGTGTTTCTAAAACCTTAGCGTTGGGCCAATGCACCGGTTTTAAGAGTCGATTTGCGGGGTTCTTCGCAGCGGCCTTAACGTCTTCGTTCTGTTCTTCTCGCAGGGCTCTGAGGCTGTGAATCCGAAGGCTTACCCTTTGGCTGATGCGCAGCTGACCATCACCATCCTCGATATTGTACAGCAGGCTTCTAACTACAAGCAGCTTCGCAAGGGAGCGAATGAAGGTGAGTTCCGCGACATGGCGGTTTTACCTTCGTCTCCTGCTCAGGTCCAGAGCTGCGCCGGTCTATGCTGGCCGTCTGCAAGTGTTTAAAGTGTCCCAAGGGTTTATGTTCCTTCTGCCCGTTCAGCGTGCGCTTAGATTGCTCAGCGCCGGGGTACCATCGGTCCGTTCCTCTATCCCCCTCTCCTCTCACCTGCCCCCTCTCCCCCCCCTCCTTCGCCCTCCCTCCTTCTCCCAATCCCCCACCTTCCCCTCCCACCGTCTTCACGTTTCCCCGGATTTTACGTTCGTGCCGTGAGCCGTCCAAAAAACTCAACGTATCCCGCTCTTCCCGTCTTTCCGTGTCCGCGCGTTCACCGCATGTGCAGCGACCAAGACGCTGAACCGCGGCATCTCGGAGTTCGTCGTCATGGCGGCCGACGCGGAACCCCTTGAGATTCTGCTGCACCTGCCGCTGCTCGCCGAGGACAAGGTGCGTTCTTGAGTATCTTGCGCTTGTCTCGACTCTTGCGTCACTTGCGTCTCGCACACCTGTCACGCCTGGTGCGTCCTGCACCTGCCGCTGCTTGCCGAGGACAAGGTGCGTCTCTTGCGTCTCGCGCCTGTCTCGCGTACCACCCGTGCTCCTACCTGTCCCCTCATTCAATGCCTGATTATTGTTATCACTCCTGCTCCTTAATATCTCCCTCAACATTTCCTCCCTTCCCTACCCCAACCAAACCCCCTCACTGCCGACTCATGTCCCCCACGCCCCTCCCTCTCGCGTATCCTCTGCGAGCAGAACGTGCCGTACGTGTTCGTTCCGTCGCGGGAGGCTCTTGGGCGCGCGTGCGGTGTGTCGCGGCCTGTGATCGCGTGCTCCGTCACGTCCAACGAGGGCAGCCAGCTCAAGTCGCAGATCCAAAACCTCAAGGTAAATCAAAGCTTCCTCCTTTCTACCATTTTCCGACCATCTGATCGTAAATTTATTTCCTGCTGCGTGCATGCACGCGTGCTAGGTGTTTATTTCCTGACCGCCTGAAGAGGGTTCGGTTCAAATCGGATTTAATTATTTTCTTGTTTGTCCTGCAGGACGCCATTGAGAAGCTTCTCATTTGAGAAGCTGCATATAGAGTACAGTCTGGACCTCATGCCTTGTTTGGCCTATGATTGTATTGAGTTTCCCATTGATATTTGAAGCGATATACCGTAATGGGATTTACCGGTCGTTTGCTTGTAGTGATGGAACGTTAGAACCCAAATTTCAGGCTGATGCGGCAACACCCATGGTCTGGCTGATGAAGCCATATTGTTTTATTTCAGGCGCCTGCCAAATTTGATAATTGGCATACAGGTTTCTAGCGGCTGAAAGTACCTTACCGTATCACCCCGGATATAAATGCACCTGCGCTTATAATAAAACATGATTTTTCAGGGGGGTGCGCTAATAATTGAGTTAAAAATATAAGCGCATGCGCTTATAAAATCACAAATATACAATTTTAAACTAATAGCAAGAAAATGTAGTTCGCGTCATTGCGCACCCAATCGAGTCGATTTGAAACAGGGTTGTGGGTGAAAAACTCTTGCTACTTGGCAGGGAAAGATTCCCTGCTAGCACATACACTCAAAATGAGTCACTAGGAGCTTCTGACAGCACTTGCTGACTGGACGCGCAGCCGGGTTTGAACGCGAAGGAAATCTGATTTTCAACTCATCGCCTCCTAAAGTGAACTTCGTTACAGTAATTTGACCGTTTTTCAATTTGAAAACTAACATGCGCTTATAATAGATCATGTTTTTTAAGGGGGGTCGCTTATAATTGAGGATCGGGCATAAGCTCATTGCTCCAGATAGAAGCGCATGCGCTTTTAATAGGCCTGCGATTTTATCCGGGGTGATACGGTACCTTGATTTCCATGTCCACAACACGCCGATCACCTACCAGTACTATGGATCGCATTACCAAAATCCCCATGGACCTAACCGCAACCATTATTTACCGACAGATAAGACTCCCACAAGAGGGATGTTGCTGAACCCGGGGTCCTGCTGCTTGATCCTGGTCTAAAAGTTACACCTTGTTGTTTGGAACACAACAGCACCTCACTGTTTCTGAGGATAAAATAATCTGTTCCAGCAGAAACCAACCTGATTCAATCAGCTGCTAGTGCTGGGGACCTCTAGTGGTTTTTTCACCTGGATCCGCACGCATGGACCTAGCTGTTCCTAAAATCGACCGACAGATGAATTCGAGAGGGATGTAGTTGCACCCGGGGTCCTGCTGCTTTATCCTGCTGCTTTATCCTGCTGCTGTATCCTGGCCTAGGAGTCCTTGCTGTTTGGAAACTCCATGCCACCACACCACATACAGTAGTCGTTATGGATAGGAACTGTTCCAACCATATCCACCCTGGTCTAATCAGCTGCTAGTGCTGGGGACCTCTAATGTCTTCTTAACTTGAATCCCCATGGACCTAGCTGTTCCTATAATCGACCGACAGATGGATTCGAGAGGGATGTAGCTGCACCCGGGGTCCTGCTGCTTGATCTTGGCGATCTCATACACGTGCTTTAACGACACCTCCCCCACCACCTGATGCCCCGCCTCCCCGCCGCCTAGAGATAGACCCGCCGCCCGCTTGAGGAAGTAGGACGTGGGCGGAGATTTGATAATGAAATCAAACGATCGATCCTGGTGAAAGGAGGACCACGGGGGGGGGGGGGGGGGGGGGGGGGTGAAGGAGAGGGGGAAATGTTGATTGGGGGAGGGGCAAGGAGGAGAGGGGGGTGATGAAGTAAGGTGAACGATTCTGGTGAAAAGATAAGGGAGGTGAAAATGAGGGGGGAAGTGGGTGGGTGGGTGGGTGGGGGAGGGGGAGAGGATAGGGTAGCATTGTGAAGTAATATGAGCGATCCCAATGGAGAAGATAAGGGAGGTGCTGACTGGCAGCAATCACGCCGTGATAGGGGAAGGCACAGTAATGAGCAGCGCAGCACTGATCACGCGGTGATCAGGGATGAGAAAAGGCAGGGGATGGTTTGGTTGCAAGCAGCACAGACACTCACGGAGTACGCGGTAACCAGTGCGGGAATGGGCATGCCCCGGTTTAATGTCCGTGGCACGGACACTCAATGAAAAAAAAATCTGAGGCGTGACAGAATTTCATTAGGTACCTACCACAGACGCGACAGAATTTCATTAGGTACCTACCACGGACGCGACAGAATTTCATTAGGTACCTACCACGTGCGTGCGCGCGTTGAATTCCTTGCAGATCGCCATGAGGGTGGGAGCAAATTGAGGCACGTCCGGCTTGACCGCAAGCAGCACAGACACTCACCGAGTATGCAGTGATGAGTGCGGGAATCGGCACGTCCGGTTGATGTGTTGCGTGCGCGCGTTTAAGTCCTTGCAAAACGCCATGAGGTTCAACCCGTGGTGCCTGCAGCAAGCAGCACGGGAACTCACCGAGTATGCAGTAATCAGCGCGGGAACGGGGACGTCCGGTTTGATGTGTTGCGTGCGCGCGTTGAAGTCCTTGCAAAACGCCATGAGGTTCAGCCCGTGCTGCCCCAGCGCGGGTCCCACGGGCGGCGCGGGTTTCGCCTGGCCCGCGTTGATCACCAGCCGGATCACTGTCGTCACCGTTTTCTGACTCGCCATCGCGACGATCGCGAACGGCGCTGGCGACGTTCGCGAGAAGAATGTTTCTGGACGGGAAAGAGAAGACGTCTGGTGACGGATGGTGTGATGTTCGACTCAACTCAGAAGTCGCTTCTCTTATTTTTAGGTCCGCCTCAACGACGCCTCAAAAAGCGAGACGGCATGTACCATCAGGTTACCACATGAGCCGTTTCGCTAATATCGGGTTACCACATAAACGGCTGCGCTAAATCGGCTCGCACGCGCTTTGAAGCTGTGTCAGCGAAAGTCACGCGGACCGAAGGGCAGGTTGCCTCAGACGCAGCCTTGCTCTCACTCGCTTCTGGAATTCCAATGCGGAATGAAATAAGTGAGAATCGTTTCAGAGGTGAAACGCGAGAGGTTCGAGCTGGACCCAGTTATTACGAGAGTCGGACGCTGGAATCTCGACTTCTGCCCTCAAAAGACGGAGGTGCTCTCCTGGCGGAGGTGGAGGTGGTGGTGGTGGTGGTGGTGGTGGTGGTGGTGGCGGCGGCGGGGGAGGGAGGTGGGGATGGAGGAGGAAATCCTCGTTACATACAGCTCCATCTACTCGGTGATATATCATTTCGATTGTGTAAGAATTGTCGCTTTGCATACGTGATGCAACTTCACTTACCATGTCTGAGAAACTAAATCTCTCATAAATAACCATGATACAATGTGCAGCTACGGTATTTTAGGAACCTTAGCCTCTTGGCATCTGTTTTCTACTGCTGCTAAACATGCCCTAAATGAAATCTACAATAAACACATCACCCAAAGCTGTTTACCAAGCTTGCTCCATGCCCACCTCTATTTCCACAAGCTAGTACTTGCATAAGCAGGAAGAAGGCAAATCACACATTCCCATGACCCGAGGCAAGCGAATGCCCTTGGCGAGCTCACACTCCCTCCTCGTTTACCTCTTCACCCTCCACAACAACCTCCTCTTTATGTAGCAAAAGCTACTAATCCGTATTCCCTTTACAAGCTGCAACCATACAAGCAGCGCTAAACCCATGCCCTTTGCTGGCTGCGGCTGCTGTTACTAGTTTACATACACAGTAAATACACACAGTACTATTCACACGCACGCACGCACACACGCACGCACACACACACACACACACACACACACACTATATGCCCTCTTTCACATCCAGACCAAGCACCTTGGCCAGCACACACCCCCTCCTCATCTCCCCCTCCTCCCTCCACAGCACCCTCCTCTTCCTATAAGGCTACAACACTTGCTCCTCCGCATCCCCTTTACAAGCTGCTATCATATGCGCACTACTCGATGCCCTCTACTTGCTGTGGCTGCTGCTGCTACAACTGCTGCTGAAATACTTGCATACAGGCTACACACAACACTAATCAAACGCACTCCATGCCCTCTTTCACTCCCAATCCAAGTCCCTTGGCCAGCACACACCCCCTCCTCCTCATCTCCTCCTCCTCCCTCCACAGCACCCTCCTCTTCCTATAACACTTACTCTTCCTCGCCGGCCCTCTCGGTATCCCCTCTACAAGCTGCTCCCCTATAACCAGCGCGCGCCCCATGGCGTGTGCCTGCTGCTGCTGCATGCAGGCTTCAAAGGAGAGGAGGGCGCGGAGGAAGGAGTCGGAGAGGGGGAGAGTGAGGGCGGGCGCGAGGAGAGGGGAGAGGGGAGGAGAGTTTAGGGTTTCCTCTCCTCCTAGACTAATCAGACACACTCCATGCCCTCTTTCACACCCAGGCCAAGCGCCTTCGCCAGCACACACCCTCTCCTCCTCATCTCCCCCTCCTCCCTCCACAGCACCCTCCTCTTCCTATAACACTTGCTCTTCCTCGCAGGCCCTCGCGGTATACCCTCTACAAGCTGCTCCCCTATAAGCAGCGCTCTCCCCATGGCCTGAGCCTGCTGCTGCTGCATGCATGCTTCAAAGGAGAGGAGGGCGCGGAGGAAGGAGTCGGAGAGGGGGAGAGTGAGGGCGGGGGCGAGGAGAGAGGAGAGGGGAGGAGGGAGAGATTCCCATTGGAGTGATATGCGGTCTAAGTCGAGGAGAATGTGGGAGAGAGAGGGGGAGGAGGGAGAGGTGGAGGAGGGAGAGGTGGAGGAGGGAGAGGTGGAGGAGGGAGAGGTGGAGGAGGGAGAGGTGGACGCAGGAGAGGTGGCGGCAGGAGTGGGGTTGGCGGAGGAAGAGGGGGAGGGTTGAAAGGTCGCATTTATGCCCTGTGAGGTGGTGGCTTGAGAGGGTGCTTTCCTCCCCTTGAATCCCCGAGCCACCACGTAACGTTCGGCGTTGCAGGCTCGGGAGGAGCGGAGGCGAACGAGGTGGATGGAGCGTAAGGAGAGGGCGAGCAGGGCGAGGAGCGAGGCTGTAGAGAGCAGCGATCCGCCCAGCAGCTTGAGAACAAACGTGCCTCCTGGCGCCTGGTGGGGAGAGAGGGGGGGGGAAGCAAGGAGGGGGAGAGAAGGGTTGGGGGAGAGGGAATGTGGGGGAATGAGAGGGTGGATGAAGCAGAAGGAGAGGACGAGGAGTGACGTGGATGATAGCTGTTTTGAGTCAACTCAAAACAGGAGTGACGTGGTTGATAGCTCACAAGCCAGCAGCTTCAGCGCGGCATGCACTTGGCTGAAGACGAGGCGGCAGCGTATGGCCTCCCAGGAGGGTCATTGAACCAACCAGCAACGACCCAACACAATTTCTGAGGCGCATCAAAAGGCAACACATCTCACCAGCAGCTTGAGCGCGGCGTGCAGTTGGCAGAAGACAAGGCGGGCATGCACGGCCTCCTGTCGGTCCCAGTCCACTGAACTGTCCAACCCGCCGTCCGCTGTCACCACTGCCACCCCTCCCTCCATCGCCGCCCATCCCTCCATCGCCGCCCCTCCCTCCATCGCTGACTCGCCAGCCTGGCAGTCCACTGAGCTATCCAGCAGCAGCACCTCTTTCCGTGTCTCCTCATTCTCTTCTGCCGCCTTCCCAGCCTTGCCAGCCTGGCAGTCCACGTGGCTGGCCCTGATGACGTCAGCAGCGAAGGCTGCCACGTTGGCATGACGTGTCAAGTCTCCTGTGCCGTCCGTGCCATACAGCACGTGGCCGTGGGACAGGAAGGAAGCTGCCTGGAAGCTGATGGGGGGCGAAACGATCGACTGTGGGAGCAGCTCAGGTTGTGCCTGTAACGAGCGTGACTGTAACGAGGATGCCTGTAACGAGGATGACTGTAACGAGGGTGACTCTAACGAAGCAGAGCTGTGTAGAGGACTGCAGAGGGCACAGTCCTCCTTCTCGTCTCTCTCTCCCTCCTCTTCCACCTCCTTTAAGCCATCAAAACTGCATCCCCCCTCCTTTTCTGCACCACCATACTTGCCCAGGATACCCGCACCACCATTACAAATCTGCTTCCCTTGTGATTCCACACATCGTCCTCCCTGCTCGCCTCCCTGCCTTCCCAGCAGCCCCAGCACAAAGTCGGGTGCATGCCCAGAGGCGGCAGAGGGGGCAGGGTGCGGGCCAGAGTGGGCGCAAGAGTAAGGGGCAGAGTGTGTAGCAGGGTGGGCGGAAGGGTGGGCGGAAGGGTGGGCGGAAGGAAGAGGTGAGAGGACGGCAGTGCTGGGAGAATGGGCAGTAGCAGGCAGCATAGGGGGATGCTGGTTGACAGGGCGCAGAGGCGAGCGCTGCTGCACCTGCCCTGTCACCTGCTGCTGCTTAAACCGCTTCTTCTCCCTCTTCTTCCGTGCTTTGCAGGCCTTAATCCCCTCTCCCTGCATCCCTCCCTTAACCTCTTCCTGCATGCTTCCGTGCTCCCCTCCCTGTCGCCCTCCCTGTCGCCCTCCCTGTCGCCCGCCCTGTCGCCCGCCCTGCTCCCTTTGGTGCGTTTCCCCCTCCCTGACCGAACAACCGCTTGCCCCAAGCAAACCAACACCTGCACGCCCATCACCTGCCGAGCCAGTACCTCCGGAGCCAACTCCTGCCGAGCCAGTTCCTCCGGAGCCAACTCCTGCCGGGCCAGTCCCTGCCGAGCCAACGACTGTCCTTTGCGAGTCGCACTGCTTCTCCTGCTGCTGCTGCTGCTGCTGCTGCTGCCGGTGGTGCTGGTGCTGCTGCTTTTGACGCTGTACCCATTGCTGCTGCGGCTGTTGCTGCGGCTGTTGCTGCTGATGCTGTTGCTGCTGTTGTTCCTTCCAATGCAGCGGATGCTCTCTCCACTCAACGCTGCCGCTCCTGCTGCTCCCACCGCTGCTACTTTCCCAGCTGCCCCAGCTGCTGCTGCTTCTGCTGCTGCCAGGGCTGCTGCTGCAGCCACTCCCTCCCCCACCCCTGCTGCTCCTGCCCCCACCTTTGCCCCCCCTGACGGAAGCTGGCACAGGAATTGCCCGTGATCTCCTTTCCCCTCTACCATTCTGTAATTCTTCTCTGCATTCTCCTCCTCCCCCGCATTGTCCTCCCCCTCCTCTTCCCCACTCCCCTCTCCCTCCTCTTCCTCCGCCTTCCCTTCCTCTTCCCCACTCTCCTCTTCCCCTTCCTCCCACCCCTCTTCCTTGACCCATCCCACCCAATACACTCCCCCGTCCCCTCCCCCCCCCATGCCCTTGTACCACCGCTCTGCACCCCTCTTCACCGACACTTACACCAGAACCACCACCCAGCCCCACACATACTCCCGAACCTGCAACCGAACCAATAGGTGGCGACCCAACAATCGAGCCAACAGCAGCCGAGCCAACAGCCGCCTTGCCTCGGAGAGTGATTCCGAACCACAGGTGCTGCAAACCACGACCCGCCAACTCCACTTCCACATCCGCTCCCCCTCCCTTTCCGCCTTCCGCCACTCCCCCCCCTCTTCCCCCCCCCTGTTCCGCCAGCAGCAGCTGCACCGCTTGAATGAACCCCCCCGGCCCCTCACACAGGTGCGCGGAGGAGGGCAAACGGGGGAAGCTGAAACCTCCGGGGGGAGATCCGGGGAAGCGCTTCCCGCTTTTGCTCCCCCCAGCAGGCGAAACAAACGCGTCATTTCGACCATTTTGAAGAACGCGCGGCTAATCGCGCGCGGGGCGGCGGGGGCGTGGGGGAACGCGCTTAAGGGTTGCAGGGAAGCGCAACTGGGTTGGGGGGAAGCGCCGAGAGAGGAGGGCGGAATTCCAGAGGCCGACGCGGAGTTTGAAGACGCCGCTCCGGGGTTGGGGTTTAGCGATGTCACGTCAGCAAGGAGCTCGTACGGGTTGGCGCACTGCGCGGCGAGCGACCAAAGGTCCAGCCCCTGCAGGCACGGGGGGAATGGGGGAGCGGAGGGGGGGGGGAAGTGAGGACAGGGAGTAGAAAGGGGAGGGGGGAAGGGGACTGGGTTGGCACACTGCGCGCGCGGCGAGCGACCAAAGGTCTAACCCCTGCAGGCACAGGGGGGACGGGGGAGAGGGAGAGGAACGGGAGAGGGAAAGACGGAGGGGGAAGGGGGGCGGAGGGCGAAAGGGGGGGAGAGGAGGGTGAGGAGGAGGAAGATGGAAGGTAAGAGGGAAAGGAGGAGTGAGTGCATGGAGGTGGAAGGGAGGGATGAAGGCGCCGACGCGCTACGTGGATCGCGTTGAAAGAAGATGGCTCAAACTAAAATGGCTCTTCTGCTTGCATTCACTGCCCCAAATATTCCTGGGCCAAACACCATTCGTACTTCGCGAGTCGTGAATGCCGTGACCTCGTATTTGAGTTCCAGTAGCGAATCCCGCGCTTCAAGCAGCCAGTCGCGGGACCGCATGATCCAATCACTGTCGGGATCCGACACGCTGGCGGGATCCTCATTGGCCGAGTTTTCTCCCACGTCAGCGGCAACGGTAGCGGCAAGTTCACAGGCGATTCGACTGGTCGGCACGGGAACAGAATCTGACGTTCCTGCCAGATCGGCTGCCGAAAGTCGTGTCGCCAGAATGTCTTCCAACCCCCTCGCCGTCAACTCCAACAGACAGCCGTCAGGGGGTAGGCTGGTCGCGAGCACGTTTTCCGTCGGCAGGGAGACGGCGAAACAACCCAAGCCGTCAAACTCATCAAGATCGTGACTTTCTTGGAGTAAGCAAAGAACGGGATCCGAAGAACCCTCCAGGTGCAAGCCGTCATTATCTGACATTCTCTTTGAGAACGAGTCGACTGGATATGAATATCCGGTGGGATCTGATGTAGCATCTCGATGGCAAAGGAGGGCGGCGTTTGTAACTCGCGAGCAGAGCTGCTCCAACCTGTCGCGACTCGCATGGTGGCTCCGAATGGCGAATGCGGGACGGCAGGGAACGGAGGTGATAGTAGCGCGCGGTGCTTGCGGATCAAGTAGGGCCTGGTCCAGGCACGTCATCTTGCCTTACTGAGAAAAAGCTGGTTGATCAGAGGAAGCATAGAGGAAAGCTAGTAAGGAATTGTGAGTAGCAAGGGAAGAGGAGCAAATGAAGTTGGTAGTGGTAGCATGCACCAAGACCTGTATGTTCAAGGCGTTTCAGGCTTTTGGGCGGAAGCGGGAGGAGATCCAGCAGTTCATTTCAGACACGTTCCTAAAGGAACATTTTTAGGGCGTGTCCTAATTAGGGTCAGAAATACTGTTTCGGTCATCCTAGATTCTTGGAAAACCAGTGGTATTCCAGTAGTGTAGCTGAAATGCACCCTATTGGTCCTCCAAGAAATTGGATGACCCGACAAGTATTCTTGACCCGAGCTAGGACACGCCCTTAGAAACCGATGTGCTGTAATGCGCATGCAGAGTTGAGTGAATCTGTGATCTTTTCAACTTTGGCGCTCTACAGTTCCGGGTACGCTGTTCCACGTCACAGTGCTATGTAGACTCCAGGGATTGGTCAATTGTTTTTCTGAGGGCGTGGAAGCCGAACTGGCTGACGACGACGACAGTCAAATTGTTGTCAGCTCGCGTTATGCTTTGCTTAAATCAAATGTATTTGTCTGAAGAGCGTTCTTTAGTAGAGTTGCATGCATATATTTTAGAACGAGTCTAATCACTTCAACCTTACAACGGAAAAACTACGTGCACCTCGTACGCTCTAGAAAGCGACGCAGCCATGACCTGTTCCCATGCTTGCCATCTATGGGGCCAACATGTTAGCGAGTGGGCGCATTAGGCCCGCCGGATTGCTCCTAGTGCGCTTCGACGTCATCCAATGGCCACTATCAGGGCAACCGTTGTGGACTTCGTTTCGCTCGTGAGAATTTGGATTTTCGCCAGCAAATTTTCCTCCTCCGAATGGCGCCATGAATTTCACCTGACCAGCACAGCCCATCGTCCCTCACGCAAATCGTCATGTCGCTGGGCCACATTGCGGCAAACTCCCCACAGAGGGATTCCCTCTGTGACCCTGTCACTCTTCCCAGCACAGTGAGTGATGCTCCTCTCGAAATTGGCAAGACCTGCAGGCACATCCTATTTCCACACCATATAAAGTCGAGCCGAAGCAACCTCATCCACATAATTTCTCACTCCATTCCAGTGCCTTCTAGCGTGGAGCACGTTTTCAAATATTCATCTAGCAACCCTGCTCCTAGCTCCTCTCCGCACCACGTTAGTCCCCACAGCTCTGGCCGTCGCTTGAATCTGCGCGTTCACTCAAGCACTGAAAAACGAAACACCATGGCTCACAAAGTGGTATCCGTTCTCGTTCTCTGCGTGCTTGCTAGCGCGACCATCACTCACGGTGCTCGGCCAATCACCCCCTCGACTCTTAGCGCAGAAACCGCATCGCAGAGCCAATCGCCCTTCTCCGCGTCGAGCCTCTTCCGCATGGCCATGTCCGCCTGGAACGACGGCGCTCAAGGCGCCATCCTTCCCTCCGCTTCCGAATCCGACGACTCCCAAGGTGAGCACTCGACTCATCAAGCGCCGACTAGGAAAGCTTATCACACCTCCGCCATTGTCCAATCACCCACCATTGTCGTTCCGTTCGCCGTTGGGTTGATTGCAGTCTTGCCGCACACTTCGGACGTCTTCCGCAAGTGACTCAGCTGCACTTGTCTCCGAGATCGCCTGGCACCCTGCCTTTCCCTACTGCGAGTCACGCATCCAATCCCCATCGCGCATCCACTCTCATCGCATCTCGCACACCCATTCAATTCTCTTCCACGAATAATCCCATTCCCGTCTCATCCAGCTCTCGAGCCAACGAGCTCCACTGTCGTCGTTGCGCCCGAAGTCGCTCCGTTCGAGGAGGACGTGGATCCCGCTGACGTGGCGGTGTCGCTCCCCGGATCCGACAATCTGATCATCTCCCGCGTGCACGTCAAGCCGGCGAAAATCGCCGAACCGGCTGACGACACTGACGACAATGGCGACAACATGATCGTCGAAGACGACGATAACGAAGACAACAGTGACGACAACGATGACGACGACGTCTTTTCGCGACTGATCGCCAACGAAGAGAACGAGGAGGCCAGTCTCACGTCCGTCTCCCTGCCTGGTTCTGACAACGTCATCGCCGCGATCCACAAGCCCCGAAGCCACGTGGCTTCCAAGCCCAGGAGCAGCTTCAGCGTGTCGCTCCCGGGTTCCGACAATGAGATCGTCGCATTCGGCGTTCCTGCGACGCTGGCGACTCGCAGCGTCGTCGTCGCAACGGACGTAGACGCGCTCCAGGCGGAGGCGACGAAGGAGGAGAGCGTCGTCGTCGCGAACGACGAAAAGGTGACCAAGGCCCAGGACGATTCCACCTTCCACGTGTCGCTTCCTGGTTCGGACAACGAGATTTGGGCCCGCAACGTGCCCCACAGGAAGAGCAACGTAGTGGCGATTACCGACGAGTCGGATCGCGATTCAACCACCACCACCGCTACAGCCACTGCCACCACTGCTACCGCCTCGCTATCCCCCAAGTCTGCTTCTGCTTCCTCTGCTGACGACAGCACTGCATCCGTGTCGCTGCCCGGTTCCGACAATGTGATTCAGGCCTTCAACATCCGTGGAAATAAGAAAAAGGTCACCTCATTTCAGATGTCGCTTCCGGGTTCCGATAATGTTATTACCGCGTATGGCGTGCCCGAGATGAAGGGGCTGACCGTTGTCGCCACGGAGGCCCCGGAAGTCGCAAAGCCTGCTGCTACAGAAACAATGGCAACTGTTAACGAGGTCGCAGAGGTGAATGCGACTACGGACGATTTCTTCACGGTGTCGCTCCCTGGGTCCGACAACGTAATCGCTGCACTGCACGTTCCCCATAAGCGCAAATTCGTTGTTGCGCAAGCGTAGCTTTACCAAAGCAAGCGCAAATAATGGGGCAAGCTCAGCCCCTTCCAAATAATAGCTGTTTTTTTCTATCACCTCCCTTGTTTCCATTTTCTAAGCAACCAAGCTTCCTGTTTCCATCCACCCCTTCAGCTCTACCCTGCATCACACTAACCTATGTGAATGAAAGAAAAGTCTTACTTATGGGCTGTAAGGACACTGAGGGATGACTATCTGAGCTACCAGTAGGCCCTTATACATGCCCTACTCCCTGGTAATTCGGCCAGAACACCGCTTATAACATATACCGGCCCAATCTATGTATGGCACCCAGCAAGTCAGCAAGGCACAAAAGGGGTACATGCTGTTGTGTATAAGGTACCCAACCCACACGCGCCACAGCGCGTACTGCCACTCTCTACAGTCACATTTCCCTCGATCCACCACCGCTATAGCTGCACGATCTGGGCAAAAGGGAGCCTGAGGGTCCAGAAAGCAGCAGGTCTGAATGTGCGCGGCAATCATTGCACGGAGGGCGAGAGAGGCGAGGGCAAAGGAGGCGAAGTGGAGCAGGGCGAGTGAGACGGCTAGAGGGAGGTGGGAGAGGTGGGTGATGGTGTGGTGAAGGAGTGAGGGAAGGAGGGGGAGGAGGAGAGCAGGGTGCTTCAAGTAAACTCCTAGTGTGTTGGTTGCGGAGAGCTGTGCTGCTGCTGCTGCTGCTGCTGCTGCTGCTGCTGCTGCTGGCGATGAGACAGCTTCTGGTAAGATTCCGACACTCAGAATGCTGCATGTTGTGTTGGCTTGAGCTAAGGCAAACCCACTAGGGCATGCAGGAGATGCATCAGTGGCAGCACCTGCTGCTCCTCCTGCTGCTGCTGTCGCTCCTCCTGGTGGTGGTGGTGGTGCTGCTGCTCCTGATGTTGCTGACCCTCCTTCTACAGCTACGCCAATCTGCGACGTGGCAATAGCAGCAGCACTGAACGGCAGCACACGGCAAACCACACCGATCACAGGAACGTTACACACGGGAGCAGCAGCCACCAGCGACACACCCCCGTGGACTCCGGCCAAAACCACTGCAGCAGAACTAACCATCCAAGGCAAGAAATACTGCACCAGGAACGAAAGTGAGACAGCCATCGATCCAGCCATGACAGAGCTAAAGGCCATGCCCATGAGCAGCAGCCAGAGGTTGAGGCGACGGTTGAGTGGGGAGAAGTATGTGGTGAGTGCAAACAGCTGCCGCCGCAGGTAGCTCCAGAACTGAATGGCAGAGAAGTGCGGGTCTAGGGGGTGTGCCAGGAGCGCGTAGGCTGGCGATAGCATTGGCGGGTCGCTGCTACCGGGGGTGCTGGGGTTGCTGGGGGTGCTGGGGCTGTTGGGTTCGAGGCTGCTTAGCCTGAGACGCTGTGCACAATCCAAGGCCCTGCAGGGAACGCTGCTACCGCTTTGCTGCTCCCGCTTCTCACATTCCTGAGCAATCAGCTGGGATGATTCCTCTTGGCACGCCTTGCTGCTGCTCTTCCTGTCTATGCTGCTCCCATTGCTGCTCCCATTGCTGCTCCCATTGCTGCTCCCATTGCTGCTGTTGCCGCTGCTGCTCCGTATGCTGTTGCCCACTGCCCCTAGCGTCATGTCATCCGAGTACCCTCCCTTCCGAAGCACATCCACCATGCCGAGCCTGTTGCTTCGGAAATCTCCGAGCCTCAACATCATGCACCCGCCCCAGATATACTCTGTGCCCGCATCATACGAGAAATTAACCAGTGGGACCAGATGAAACCCTAACACCGCGTATGAAAACAGCGACCCCGGGTTCGGAATGTCAAACGGGTAACCCGTTACAAGGAACGTGTCGGGTCGGCGAAGCATGTCTGTTACGAGGTAAGTGATCGCCTCTGGGTACATTCTCGCGTCGTCGTCCAGGAAGAGGACAAACTCTGCTTCCGGACGGGCGGCATCGACGGCGGCCAGCTGGTTGTGGATCTTTTGGCTGCATGTGGTAGAGGTGCCAGCTACCACCACACGAACCTTCCTCAGATGCACCTCCCCCTGCTGCCTGCACGCAACGCCACTTTTTTTTGCAGTCTCCCCTTCACATACCACCTCCCATGACCATACAGCTCCCCCTCTGGGTGAATCTATAGATTCCCTTCCTTCCCCCCCGCCTGCGCCCCCGTGCCCCCTGCCTTCCTCCTTTTGCACCCTCCCTTGCTTCCCCTGCGCTCCACCTTCCCTCCCCCCTTTATGCTCAGCGTTGAAACGCGCTGCGAGCTTGCACGCCTCGAGGTACGCGCGGTCCGCCTCGCTCTCCACGACGATGAGGAACTCCACGGGGCCCGCATAATCCGCCGTGATGTGCGTCGCCCAGTTGCTCGCCGTGTGCGCGTGAAAACCTCGCACGGGCATTACCACCGCCACCGCCGGCCAATGCGGGCAGAGGGAATTCTCCGCGCTTCCCGTCGTGCTACCACTTGAAATGATCGCCGTGGCTCGCGCATTGTAATCGCCATCGTCAGTAGAGATAATATCTCCACCTGGTTGCTGCGCGCCGCGCTTTCGCGTCGCGCGTGGAGGCTGTTTCGCGGCGGACGAGCTACGACGCAAACGAAGGCGATCGAGGGACTTGCGGCGGTTGCGGGCGGCGACGGACCAGCCGTACGTGTGGAGGAGCAGCAGCAACACGCCCGCCACCTGCAAGCCGTACAGGAGCGCGACGACCGGGCCCATTTACCAAAACGTCTGAAGTTTTGCTTGATCAACTTACAAGTCGTCACGGTCGTCACGGAACTTCTGGAACCTGTCGAACCGCTCGAGTCACCCGAAACGGTCGAACCAGTCGAATCACTCGAACCTTTCCGCGAGTCAAAGCTGAGGAGCCTGTCGAACTGGTCAGAATGGTCGAACCACTCGAACCGCTCCTGAACCTGTCAACCTTTCGACGTAACGCGGGCCCCTACTGACCACTAGAAATCGAGAGCCAATGCACGTAGTGGGGATCTGACGATTCATCGGTCAGGATCTGTAGTCGACGTTGCGAGAATCCGCCAAACAATTCAAAATGACGGCCATGATTTCTTAGCTTGAATTGGCCTAGAAGCTTTAGGCAGAGCCAAAAACCTAGCATAGGTTCTAAAAGGGCTAGCTGTGAAACTAGAAACTAGAGCAGGTCAAGCAGACTGTGATCATGCTGAGTAGGTCGGGGGAAAACTGACAAGATGATGAGCAGCCACATCGAAGACGAGTCCCGCGGCGCACCGACAAGCACAGATCACCTCTGACGATTTTGGAAAGCCAAGCAAAGCAGCAAACCCGCCAGTTGTGACCTGATTTTCCAGGCACTCTTCCCCAACCTAACTCGATTTCATGATATAGCCTCTACCTGAACTCGTAGTCCAGGTTTCAGGAATGCACTAGTAACAACAATGCGTCCTTGTGCATGGCAAGTAGGCAACTATTGTCATAAAGCTAACCTCACCACGCATTCTTCTTGCTGAGTGATTTGGGAAAAAGAGTTCAACGAATGGGCCTCCTATATGGGGGTATGAATAAACGACAGTCAGCTGACCAGCCCCAAAATTGATTAGATGACTGACCCGTTGCCCATACGAACTTTGTACCGTTCATGCATGGCGGGAAGGAGCTGCTGACAGTGAAGCCAGCGAGGGAGTGGAATGCATCGTCCTCAGTCAGACGCGCTAACATTTGAAGCAGATGAGCTTGTACTTTAGAGATGTAGAACTCTAGTTCTTCACCAATTATCTGTTACAAGCTATTTACTGTACCAAATTTATGAAAGACGTAAACCTCAATGTTGTCTATGTCGCCAACGAAATCTAATACAGTAACACCATTTATTGTTTAGGGAGATTAAAACACACAAGGTTGACTGAGACCCTTTTGTTAACAATGTGCTCCAAACATATAACTTTTGCTAGAGTACACTTCCCACGTCCAGTTGCTTCCCACAGCTAACCCTTGTTTTCACCACAAACCACCTTTTCACATGCATATCGATCCACCCACCCACCCCCACAAGCACCCGTCTTTTAGCAGCTGGGCACTGCAGATGTGACTGTAACAGGGCCACAGGTGGCAGCTCCAGGCTTGCCAGCACGGCACACGCGGAGAGTGACAGGGCCGCGTACTACCCGCCCTCGGAAGTTGACCAATTGGAAGCGGTACGAGCGCTGACACCCCCGCACTGGCCGCCCAAGGTCCAAACGGATAAAACGAGAATTGCCGGCCCTGGGAAAAGTGGGGGGAAATGATGGGGAAGGGGAAAGGGAGAGGTGGAGTAGCGGCGGGTGAAGAGGACAGAGTGAGAGGGTTGATGAGTAGGGGAGTAAAAAGGGGAGGGTGGGGGGAGTGGAAGTGCATTGATCGATAAGGACTCCGCACCTCTCTCTCAAAGCCTCGCCTCAATACCCAAACCAGTGTTTTAGATCACGATCTTGGCGTTGTTGCCAGGGGGAAAAGCGCGGCAGTTCCCCAATGGTAGCCCCCCAGCAGAGTGGGACGGGAATCTTAAAAATGATTTCTCAAAAACACTCTGGTGTCAGCACGCCCCCCCCCCAGCAGAGTGGGACGAGTGGTCCCCGTGACGTAGGGGCCTGGCAGAGCAATAGGGCGCGTGAGAGGGGAGCTTGACTGGAAGAACTTTATTCTTACCGCGTGTGATGAGGCGATGTCTGGATCGTGTGAGAGGGGAGCTTGACTGCAAGAACTTTATTCTTACCTGACAGCCTCGGCACCAAACCAACAGCTTCCGCTCCAAACCAACAGCATCAGCAACCAAAGCAGCGCCTCACCTGACGATTCTGGCGTTGTTGCCTCGTGGGACAGCGCGGCAGTTGCCCAATGGTATCAGAACCGCCGTGACATAGGGCCCAGCAGAGCAGTAGGGCGTGTAGGAGGGGAACTTGGATGCAGCTTGGTCCGCCATGGCCATTGCCAGCACCTGCGGATTCTCCCTCTGCTTCTCCCGCTGCTGCCGATGCCACTCCAGGATCCTTTGCTCCTGCTGCTGCAGCTGCGTCTCCGCTTCCGCATCCTCTTCTTCCTCCCCAGATAACGGGGTTGCAGTTGTTGTGGTTACCACTGGTGTGGTTACAGAGGCAGTGGTGGCGAGAGAAAATGACCTGGTGGTGGTTTTGGGCTTGCTGCTGCTGCTGCTGCTGCTGCTGCTGCTGCTGCTGCTGCTGCTGCTGCTGCTGCTGCTGCTGCTGCTGCTGCTGCTGCCACTGCCACTGCTCATGCTGCTGCTGCTGCTGCTGCTAACGCCGTTACTTCTGGGATCAGAGGAAGGGAAGAATTGGGAGGATGGGCTCTTGGGTTTGGAGGGTTTTCCTTTGGGGTGCGCAGCAGGGAAAGCAGAGGGTGCTTTGGTGGGCGATGGCAACGGCTGCTTAGATGCAGCGGAAGGCGGTTTTTTTGTAGGAGAGGGGGACTGAGAGGAGGAAGGTGAAGAGGATGGGGAGGAGGATTTGGAGGATGGAGGCTTACTCGGAGGGGAGGGGGGAGTAGAGTGAGTAGGAGAAGGGAGGGAGGGAGATGCGGACGAGGGAGGAGACGAGGGCTTTTGAGGCTTGCTCTGATCCTTCCCTCCCGAACCACCAGGTCCCCCTGCCGAGCCTGCCGAACCACCTCCCAAACCTCCGGAACCTCCTGAAGAACCTGCAGGCCCACCTCCCGAACCTGAAGTTTGCCCCGAACCGGGAGGGTCGTTAGGGGGCCCTGACGTGTCGGATAAGAGGGTCCCCGAAGTAGGTGGAAGGGGAGGAGAGGTGGAGGAAGAGGAGGAAAGGGTCGAAGGTGATTTGGGAGTTGGTGGTGAGGGAGAGGAAGGAGAGGGAGGAGGGGGAGAGGGAGAAGAGGGGGGAGGAGTGCGAGGAGGAGGGGTGGGGGAGGTGTTGGGAAGTTGGAGAAAGAAGGCGTCGTAGTTGAAAACGGCCTGACAGGCACAGGCAGAGGGGGCCGAAACGCAGGGAGAGGAATGTGGCGGTGTGGTTCGGTTGAATGCGAGGAACGTGGAACAAGCGGGGCGAAAAGCGAGAGGGGCGAAGGGTGAGCTGGAGAGGAGGGAGAGGGATGCGAGCTGGTGTGGTGCGATGAAGTGAGATGGCACAACTTTCTGGTCCCAGTTCTGCCTTTTTGTCGCATCGTAATCTCGTGTTCTTTCATCCTTCGCTCTTGGTCCCTTGTGTCATCAGTTCCCTATCTCTTTCTGAGGCGCCTCAGAAATTCTCGAGTTGACTATACAATGTTGTTCGTTCCTTGTGTCATCGGCTCCCTATCTCTCTCCACTGCGGAAAGCGTCACCATCGTTGGATATAAGCGGAGAAACAAACTAAACACTTTAACGAGGACGGCAGCGGCGCGTACCACGGGCTGCGTGGCGGTGCCATTCGAGGACGGCTCCTCCTGAATGTCCACCGTGGCGTTTACCACCGCCTGGCGCGGGGAGAGGGGGCAGTGGGGAGAGGGAAGGAAAGAGGAGGAAGGGGGGAGGGGAAAAAGGAGAGAGGAGAGGGTGGGAGCGCGGAGGAGGGGAGGCAAGCGAAGGGAGAGCTTGGGACGGACCATGGCAAACCATCACGGGAGGAGTTGGGAAAGCGACAAACCATAAGCTATGAACCTAGACGTGACTAGTAGCTCGTGAAAGAAGGGGAGTGTACTTTCCGAGTATCACTTTATCAAGCCTTACATTGGCCTCAAAAACACACGAAGTACGCCAGTTAACCAGCTCGCAAACGGCTTGCAGTCTACAGAGACGGCCGTACCTTGCCAGCCGGCAGGCCTGTGGCTACCGCGTCTTCCGGAATCGTCGGCGTTACCGTTACAATCATGCTGTCCACGCCGACACTTGAGCTGTTACCGTTACTATTACTGTTACTGTTGCTGTTGCTGTCGCTGCTGTTCCATTTATTAACCGCTCCGCTGCTAGTGGAACCTCCGCTGTTGGTACCAACAGGCTGCGTCTTATTACCCCCGTTATTACTGCTAAAGTTGCCCGCTGCATTGTTCCTAAGCCAATCGCTATTATTCCCAGAGCTGTTGCTATTGCTGCTAGTGCTGCTGTTACTGTTGCTGCTGCCGATTATACCACCGCTACTACCGGCGCTGCTGCCACCGGCTGTTTTAGTAGTGACTGTAGCGAGCGTCCTCCGCACCGAGCCTCCTTCCAAACTGAACTGCTTCGGTTCGACATCAACAGACGCAGAAGCAACGTCAGACGCAGCAAATGAGCCAGCCGCATCAGCAGCTAATTCATGCCGTCGTTGGCGATTAAATACGATGCTGACGCTCCAAGGCAGAAGGTGTCTCCCACCGCGCGCCAATTCTGCTGCAACGGTTTCTGCGGCCGGCGTTCTAGTATCGAAGGCCGTGGCCGTGGCTATGGAGACTATATGCGGGGCTACAATAACGGAGATTAGAATCCACATTTGACTTTGGAAGAGCCACTTTCGGCGATCGCGTGCCATCTTATATTTAATCCTTTATACGCGTTAGCGAGTCGGTTTCTGGCTTTAGATAATAGCAAATCCCTGCTCGCCAAGAGTGAGCCACGTCACTACCGTAGCATCGGACATAAAGCGCCCCTAGGCTCACATCTAATCTACGAGCCGCGCATATTCGTTCTACAAGCTACGACTGTAGCATCTCAATCCGCCAGTGGTCGTTCGACTCCCAAGCCCCGGAGGCCATAGCCCGTCAGCACTGCAAGCTCGTAGTGCTACTTCGGGAACAGAAGGGTAAAGAATACACGGGGGAGGCGATACGGCGAGAAATCACTCGTCGAAATTGTTCTGCTAGTGTTGTGAAGAGAGATCAGAAACATCTCTGCGGTCATGCCGCAGAGTCTCCTGCGCGGCCATCTGCAAAACGACAAACAGGCGCTTGCAAAGATTGGTGCTTCTCGCGTGCCCGCTAGTCTGTTGACCCGCTAGCCCTAAAGGCCCGAAACGGAAGGAGAGGTAGGAAACTCGGAACTTGACACGACAAGCAACGCCATTGTATTGAATGTGGAGAAAGGGCAGAGGGATGGTTGTCGTGCAGCGGGGAATGAGGGTGCTGATGAGACGAGCTGGTTGACTCATGAATTTGTCACGATGGTGCAAGTGAAGGGAGAAAGAGGGAGCAGCTGGTGATGTATGGGTTAGTTACGGTTCAGATGGTTTGGTAGGATGCAGAGAGAGGTGCCATTCGGTGGAGCCTGGATGGCAGGTCGAGGTGAGGTCATGCCAAGTGCCACATGCAATGCAATGAAGGTGGATGGCGGCGAGGGATGGGGAAGGGAAGAACGAGGCGAATGAGACTGAAGTGGAGTGGTGGATAGGGGGGCGACATTTGGAGTCGCGTTACGTGCCCCCGAGTGCGGCGCCGCGAATTTTGTAGGGCTTGTTAAACCCCGTTCGGCTGTAGCCACGTGTTACTCGAGTCCAGACCTGGCTGCAGGTGGAGAAACAAGTTTCGATATCATGTGCTATTTGAGGGTCGAGAAACTTCAAAGTCTAGATATTTACATCACCCGGAACGTTCACAATGTCGTGTGATCTTCAAGTGAGTACTCCCGTGCTCACGGGACAAACTCGATTCCTTTGCGAGATTCGTGGAGGGTGGAGACTGCGCAGTGCGCACCAGATGAAATGCTACACCCACGAGAAATTCATTCGAGCAAACGCGCTTTTGGTCGCACCCATATGCTGCACTGGGTGTACGGACTGCACCCAAATGTTTACAAGACCTGGCTTTGTTTCCTTACAGGTTTGCGTAGTGATTGAAATGTAAAAGAACGGAATATAAAATTGTGGGTGACATTGCATTGCATCACCACCACCAATCAGCTACTATGATACACTAAAACGTATATGGAAGCAAACTGGTCAATTTGCTAGCCACAGTAAGGTACTGCTGAAGTCATAGTAACCGGTCCACAGGTGGATGCTTTGGCTGTGCCCGCCTGGCACACGCGCAGTGTGACCGGGCCTTGGCGCACCTGGCCCTGAAAATTGGGCACCTGAAAAGTGTATTTCCGCTGGCAGCCTACATAGACCACTGACGATGATCCAGAAGCAGAGGGTTCCCCATATGACAGCTTGGCATACCAAGCCTTGCTTATCCTGGGTAAAAAGTTGCATAGAGGCGGGACATGGGGGGGAGGGGGTGGAAACAAGAAACCGTTCAAGAGTGAACTTGTCAAATTTGAACATGCATTCCTCAACTAGTGACAAAACACTCGACAGGGGAAAAGACAAGATATGTGCCTTTAAGAAGCATCATGGAGGCATAGGTATGTGTATATAAGATGCATACGTAACTACTAACTTCGCTCCGAAGGCCGATGCATATGATCAAGCTGGAGGGAAAATCCTTACCTGACAAGTTTGGAGGTGGCAGTGGCCTTCACTTTGCACTTGCCGAGGGGGATCAAGGCGGCGCTCACATAGGGGCCATCCTGGCACTGCGGGGTGGCGGAAGGTACACCACCGTTCGCCACGCCCCCTGCCGCTGCCCCCGTCGCTGCTGCCGCGAATTTCGACGCTGATACTGACGTGGACGCTGACTTCGAAGCTGACGCAGCGGCAGGCTTGGAAGCTGACATGGCAGATGCAGCAGCTGCGCTGGAACTGCCGGTGGCAGCAGCAGCGGCGCGGGCATCAGGACCGGTTAAGAACCATCGGGTTGGTGTGAAGGGTTGGAGTAACTGCCTTCCCTGTGCAACTGTTGAGCCTGAACTGCCGCCTGATGAGCTGGCAGCGGTGCTGCTGCCAGATGAGCTGACAGCGGCGCTGCTGCCTGAAACCGCAGCTATGGAAAAAGTCTGGGAAGAGGATGGATTGGGAGAGACGGAAGGAGAACCAGAAGTCGAGGATAAACCCGAGGCACCACCGGAGGCAGTACTGCCGCTGCTGGTGGTGTCAAATTCTGTGTTGGAATTTGCATTCCCACTGCTTGTGGTGCTGCCACTGCCCCCGCTGCTTCCGATGCTTCCGATGCTGCCAATGCTTCCAGTGCTTCTGGTGCTGCTTGTGCTGCCGGTGTCGGTACTGGTGCCTGTGCTGCCTGTGCTGTCGGTGCTGCTGGTGCTGGCAGGATTGGTGGTACTACCAGCGCTGCTTGTGGTGGTGGTGCCGCTGTCGGTGCTCCCAGTGCCACTGCTGCCCCCACTGCCAGTGCCCCCACTGCAGGTGGTGCCAGTGCTTCCGCTGCCGGTGCCCCCACTGCCAGTGCTGCCACTGCCAGTGCTGCCACTGCCGGTGCTGCCAGTGCCCCCACTGCCAGTGCTGCCACTGCCGGTGCTGGCAGTGCCCCCACTGCCAGTGCTGCCACTGCCAGTGCTGCCACTGCCCCCACTGCCAGTGCCCCCACTGCCAGTGCTGCCACTGCCGGTGCTGCCGGTGATACCAGTGCTTCCAGTGCCAGTAGTGGTGTCGGTGGTGGTGTCGACTGGAACGACAAGAATGTTGTAAGACACCGTCACTGTCACGCCTGCACCAGCGGCTGCTGCTGCTGTGGATGTCACCACGCCCAGAGACGCATTCAGCATGGCCTGGGGTGGACGGAGGGGATGGTGGGGGGACAGAGGAATGATGAGAGCGAGGAAAGGGAGGAGCAAAAAACATACGAGTCACGCCCCTGCGCTGAGGGCGCCTGCGGTCACGACGCCCAGGGACGCGTTCAGTATGGCCTGGGGCGGACGGAGGGGAGGGTGGAGAGGCGGAAGAAGGGAAAGGAGGAAGGGTAAGGAGAGGGCAGAAAGGGGACGCAAGGCAAAGGCTGGGCGAGACAAAGGTTGGGCGAGACAAAGGTTGGGCGGGGTAGCAACACAGAACAATGTGCCGACCCCGTTCACTCGCACCCGCCATCCTCAATCAATCCCCCACCAACCCCACCTCGGCCGACCCTTTCTCCCTCTTGCACGGTCCTTCCTAGTTCCACACCGACCTTCCGCTCCTTCCCCGCACCCCTCGCACGTCTCACCTGTCCTGCGGGGAACCCCAGCGCGACGGCGTCAGGCGGGATGGGCGGGGTCGTCGTCGACTCAAACATCGCCGTCGTCGTCGTCGCACTGTCGCCCATTCCCAGTCGCACGGCCTCCGTCGGCCCGCCCGAACCAATACCAGGCACCCACGCGCCGCTCGCCACGCCGCTCCCCGCGCCGCCCGTTCCCGCGCTGCCCGTCCCCGCAACATCCGGCACGTATCCCGCCCACTTGCTCCGCGTGCACTCCCGGTCGTGACACATCACGTGCGCACGCCCGCCTTCCCACCACCGGTCCTCGCTCTCCATCTCCTCCCCCGGCGGCGGCGGCGGCGGCGGAGACGGCGTGGGCGTCGGGGTCGCATAGTCGTCGTTATCGTCGTAATCGTCGTCGCCGTACGGCCCGTCGTCGTCGTCGCCTCCCCCGTTGTTTCTCCCTTGCTGCGATTCCGGCCAACCGCGGCCCTTCCAGCTCCTACAGTTCCTAGGGTTCCTGTTCGGGTCGCAAGGAGGACCTCTCCCGTCTCCGCCTCTTCCGCTTTCTCTTCCGCCTCCGCCTTTCCCGCCGTCTCTTCTGTCCCCGCCTCTTCCGCCATCTCCTCGTTCGTTTTTCTCGCCGCGTTTATGCATCGGCTGCGCTCTAGCAGCGGTGCTCGCCGTTTTAGGCGCAACCTTGGGACCAGCCGGGGCGGCTGCTTTCGCGACAGGTTTATGCACTAATTTACCCGCAGCAGCTTTCACGGCGGTTTGAACAACGGATTTCACGGCGGTTCCAACAGCGCCCGTCACGGCCTTAGCTGTTAACGGCTGCGGCGTCGAGACCAAAAGACGGAGGAGATGACGGCTACTCCTTAACTCCGCCGCCTTTTGGTTTCCCTCTGATCCCTCCACAGTTCTAACCGCAACTGCTGACGTGTCATCCCAAAACGCCAGCAAATGTCCGAATCTCTGTCCGAATCTGGGTCTCAATCTTGATAAGAGCGATGAAAAGTCTCTCCAGGGAGCAAAGCTGTTGAGCCGTGAGCTATCAGCGGTATCGGCGCTACTGGCGGTGTTGGTGCTTTCGGCGAGCAGCGAATGCGCGCATAGTAGTGAGCATATTAGGAAAACTGCCCAGCCTGTTAAAAAGGAGATTCCGGACTTGCCAAAGCTGCTTCGCGAACCCATGGCCCCGCTGGACGCGGTTGCCGGGATTCGCGGCTGCCTGGGAGAAAAGAGGTGGACGGCGAGATGTACGGCTAGGATGTCATCTACGCCAATAACTGCATGGAACCCGGAAGTAGACGAATACGATTCATCCAAGAACGCTGGAACCCTAAAATACACGGCTAGTGCACTAGTGCACGTAGGCCAAATCAAACAGCGGCAAAGGTCGTTAATGGAAAAACAGCCGAGCGAGAGTATAACAGGCCTACCGTAAGTGCGAAAAAAGACCGTTTGTGTCTGTCGTACATGCGAATCTGAGCTCTAATCAATCGCATGTATCAGCTGTTTCTTCATTCGCTTCTGTAGATGACTCCATATTTATACGAAATTGTGAAGTATGGTTGGAAGAAACTAGCGAGCGCGGCCGTGCTAGCAGTTGCTACGAAGGTTACACGCTGAAGTTACTATTTTACCTAGCGCAGCCGAGCTAGCTGTTGCTGCGCGGATTACACGCTGTGCGGCTTGACTGAAGTTACTATCTTGCGCTTGCTGCAGCTGAAACGTGGCTGTTACCTTCAGTGGGAATCATGTGAAAAAGGTTGGGAGGTTGCAAGCGACCAGTGAAGAACATGGAGCAGCAACAACAGCAGGCAGCAGCAAGCAGCAATAAGAGAAGGTAGGGATGGGAGCCATGGCGTTTGGAGGAGGCGGTTGCTTCCGATGCAGGCGGGGGAAGCAATGGGTCAGGCAATTTGCGCACGTTGGGAGGGTGGGGTGGCGGAAGGACTAGGATATGATGGGGGGCGCGCAAGGGATGGGAGATGGGGAAGGGTTTGATGAGGGACGCAGAAGGATGAGGGGAAGGGGAAGGGAATGGGGAAGGGAAGAAAGAACAAAAGGGGCTGCGTACAGAGTCGATAGCCCTCGGGATCGTGTTTTGACAGGGTTGGAGATGGTTCTGTAGGTTTTACTAAATACTTTGCGGGGTAATATACGGTGGCATATTGAGTTTGGACCCTTGATCCTTGATCTTGCCAAGCTGTAGCGCCATCTTGAGTTCGTGGAAGGGGACGCGAAAGGGAAGGGGGGGTGGGGAGGGGAAGTTGAGCGCAGGAGGGGAGGATGTTCTGCGGGCAAGGGTGGAAATTAGGGTTGAGGGCGAACAGGTGTTAGAGAGGCGCAACTCATTGTGGATTCTGGCGCAAGTCGCCACTTGAGAATTCGGTTTTGACGACACTGGTTACCAGCTCCGATTTCGATACAGTGACAGAAATCGCGAATCCTTACAGGGTGTGCCTGACGTCGTAGGGAGTTGAACGGTCGAGATGTTAATGGTCCTTTTCAACGGACAGATGAGGCCTTGAGGTTGGTGCAAAACAGCAGCTGTCGGTGGCGTGGGAGGGGTATGTTTGCCGCACGACACAGCAGGGAGCAAAAGCCAAGGCGCATGTCAGGCAGTGTGTCTCCCCGATCCCAATGTTATCCCCTCCCTCACCACTCCCCCTTACCTTCACCTCCGCTCCGCAGGGTAACCGCCGTGCCGTCTCTGCGGGAAAGGATTCCATCACCACACCACCGCCCTACCCAGCACGGGGAATGCCCATGTCATAATCGTGTACCCTACAAGGTAGAACAACACGTCCAGCCACGTCAGCACGACAGATGCTATTATGTAATTGTCGGATACTCTGACCTCAGCGGCTCCACAAGAATAACCCTTCGTATCAGGGTCCGTCGTGACAAAAGAGACGGCACTTTCTGATCCCGCCAAGCATCAGTTTGTCCCCTGGACACTCACCTTCGTGCGTTGAATGAGGGTAGTGCAAAATGAATGGCGACAAAGGGGTGATTGGGACACCAAACCAAAACTCGCACTTCATGTGCCCGTCAGGCCTAGGGGTGAAATGAAACCGAAAACAAACGCAGCTGTGCTTGTGTTGAATTCTGGAGACGGAAAGCCGTTAAACCCGCTTGTGCTTTTCCGTTTTGTTTGTATTATCACTTTGTTGCTGTATGAGTGACTTTTGAGTATACAGAAGCGCGAAGATAACGAACCTGTGATAACATTTAGGAACTTAGAACACCAAAATTGCTACGCTATTTCCCTGTGCGGTGCTTCGCCTTGACATGGTTTGCTAAGGAATCAGAAGACGTGAATCTCCTGTAATACAAGAGACGTTGATTTTGGAACAAAAGAGGGAAGAATAATTTGGCATTGGCACTAGGAGTGTAAAAAAGATCAAGCAGAACAGAACAGTACAGAACAAAACAGAACAAACAAAGTGCATGGGACTCACTTAGAACATGCCGTGCATGGGAAGGAGCCTGATTTAGGGGTAGATGGCGAAGTGTTTGGGACAGGGGTGGGTGACTTGAGCCGTCCACAAAGCAGTCCATGCAGGGTGGGGAGGGGGAACGGTAGATAAGGGTGAAATATTAGTCGACCTTGAAGAGACTCGGATTCAATTTGCCGAGCATTGTGACACATCAGTTAAGAAAGGAGTTGGAGCAGAATGGAGAGAGCGTGAGCCTTCCCAGTACCTTCTGGGCTTGAGGAGAGATTGCTGCGACAGCTGCCTGCGGCTTCACCTTGGCTGCTCACAATAGCAACAGCAAAAGACCGTGTTAGGAAATTTGGGTGTAAGAAAGCAACTATTAAGAATTCTCAAACACTGTCAGAGCGAGAGGTGCCCAAGACTCTCATAACTTCAATACCGCATCATCTTCTTCCCTCACCCCACCTGCTGTCTTGACAGTACCAGCACTGACAGGGCAAAGGGAGGCAAAGCTCAATACCCCATCCTCTTTTTCCCTCATTCCATTTATTGTATTCATGATATCCAGGGCGCGGGGCGCTTACAAATTTTCTGAGCTAACCACCACCTTCCCCGCACCCTACCTGCTGTCTTGACGACAGCGGGGTGTCAGGACTCAGGGCGAGGCTTCTTACGCTCACCGGTCTTCTCCGCCTTGCCTTTCGAGGAGGGCGGAGTGACGATGCTCACTGCTGCCCGTTTGCAGCCCGTCGCAAACACACTTCCCGCACCCACCTGCAGTCTTGACGGCAGCGGGGGTGTCAGGGCGAGGCTTCTTCCGCTCAGTCTTCTCCCCCTTGCCTTTCGAGGAGGGCGGAGTGACGATGCTCACTGATGCCCGCTTGCTGCCCGTCACAGGCTGATAGAGGGGCGTGTGAGGGAGGGTGAAGGAGGGATAAGAGCAGAAACACCATGCCATTTGCTGCGTTGAAGGTGGCAGGAGTTGCATGGACATGCAATGCGCAGCACAGTGTACAGACAGTCACTGCTATCATGTGAGCTAACAATGTGTTGAAATATGATGATTGGGCGGTTTTTTTTTTTTTTTTTTAATGCACAGTGCTCTAAGTTTGGGCCGCAAACATGAACATCTGGTTCTCATTCCCCAGTTGCATGTACGGTGCCACTTTTTTTTTGCTATAACATCTCCTGCTTCACCCACCCACCTTTTTCTTCTCCGATTCTTACTGAGAGAAGAGTGGGTCCACTTTTGAGGCACCTCAAAAGTCGACTCTTAGCTGAACCTTTTTTTGTGTTTTTTTTTTAATGAACTGACCTCTTTCTTTGGTGTCACTTCCTTCCCGTTCCGCGGTGCGGAATCTTTGCCTTCCGATCTTGCCGCCGTTGGAGTTCCTTGCTTTGATGCTGCTGCTGCTTTTGCTGCTGCTGGCGTTGCTGCTGCTGCCCCTCTTCCCCCTGCTGGGGATGGCACTGGAGTGCCCTTCTTTCCTGACTTGATGCGTGCTGCAGCAGAACAAGGGCAGAAAATATTTGGGGGCATGTTCTGAGGGTGGTGGGCAGGGCAATGGGTAACAGGGGTTTGAGACGTCTAATCGCTGCAAGGCGAGCAGGCTTGGGGCGGATGGCAGTGGGGAATGGCAAAACACAATGGGCAATGGGCGATGGGCGATGGGCAATGGGCGATGGGCGATGGGCAATGGGCAATGGGCGATGGGCAATGGGCAATGGGCGATGGGCAATGGGCAATGGGCGATGGGCAATGGGCAATGGGCGATGGGCAATGGGCGATGGGCGATGGGCAATGGGCGATGGCCGACGGAGAAACAGGTGTGGGAGGAAGGTGAGGGACGGAAGCTGGAAACGGAAAAAGGTTTGCAGTGCACTGACACCCTCACAAGAGACTCTAAAAAATGTGTCAATAGCAACAGAGAAAGAAGGGAGACGAATCTCACCTCGCTTCTCAACAGCAGCCGCTGCAGCCGCCGCCATTCCCTTAGACGATTTCTCAGCTGGAGATGGAAGACGAGGGGGGTAACGAGATAGTGAATGCCTTCCGGTTGAAGTAAATGGCAGACCTTCCAATCACAAAACCGCAGACGTAGGCCATGTCCAGTTTTTACCCCACCACACACACAGTCATGCGGAGTGAAATGGTACTGCTAACCAACGTTGTTACTCCAAGATTGCCTTATTTGCTGTAATTTAAAGCATATGGCACATGTACTGCCTCAGTCCCTTCCCAGCTCACCTGCCATGGCTGCTGCCGCTGCTTCCTCATCGTCACTGCCTTCCATCGCCTCGTCCTCTTCTTCCTCTTCCTCATCGTCATCATCATCACTGTCCTCCTCCTCGTCCTCTTCCTCATCCTCCTCAATTTCCTCGTCCTCATCTGCACAGCACAACACCAAGTGTGCACATAAGCAGAGATTAAAAAAAAAATCTCGTCCTCAACTGCCGGTCAAAGATATGGCCTACGCATGCTCACATGGCCACGGGGGGGGAGGCCTCCCCGTACAAGAAGTCGCCACAAAATCACTCACCATACAGGGAGTCAACACCAGCAGCATCGGAGGTCTTATATCCCGAGAAGAACACGCTGTGGCTGCCCGTGTGGGCCAGGCTGAACTGGCGGTCGAAGATGTGGTCCATGGCTGCGAAGTCCACCCGCCCCTTCACTAGCACGCCCACCACCACCTCCGGCCCCACTGCAAACGACTTTGAAGACAGCTTTCCCTTGCCTGCCTTGCCCTTGCCGTTCTCACTATCATCGCTATCCTCGCTGTCATCACTGCCATCACTATCGTCATCATCAGAGTCTTCGGGGAATTCCACCTGCCTGACCTTGAGCACCACCCGCTCGTGGTCCTTAGCTGCCTCGCCTAGACTCGCCTGGGGTGAAGAGGGTTAGCCATGGAGCGAATGCGAGAAGGGAAAGGAGGAAGACATAGGCCAACAATATCATCATTTGCCGGCGTCATGATCAAGAGTTATCAGAGTCATCAGAGCCTTCAGAGTCTTCAGGGAACTCCACTCCACCTGTTGCACCTTGAGCACCACTCTCCCGTGGTCCTTGGCTGCCTCACCCAGACTCGCCTGGCATCAAGTGGGTGAGACGTGGGTTGCATTGCATGCGAGCAGGGGGAGGATTTCCATTTCCACACGGGTTTAACATTATCATCATTATTAGAGTTGTCAGGGTCATCAGAGGCTTTGTGGAACTCCACCTGGCTGACCTATAGCACCACCTGCTCGTGGTCCTTGGCCGCCTCGCCCAGACTCGCCTGGCAGTGGGCAGCTGCAAATGTGTGCCGGTGTGCCGGGGACAGGTGCGTGCAGTGTAGTGAAGGAGTAAATGGGACACGCGCACGCAGTATGCCTGGGAGATTCGTGCAGTGCAGGTGGTACCTGGGACAGGCGTATGTAGTCAAAGTCATGCTCTGTGGGATCCACCACCACCGTAATTTGAGACGATTCAGGCCTTTTTTTTTTTAAGTTGAGAACTCTCAGTATCTGGGATTCTGGGACAAGTGCATGCAGTGCAACGCAGGTGGTACCTGGGACAGGTGTATGTAGTCGAAATCATGCTCTGTGGGATCCACCACCACCGTCTCTCCCGCCTTCACCTCCACACCTGCCGAGCAGCCAGTTCAGCAGCAGCGAATGGGAGAGAAGCACCCATTGGTAATGGAAGATGGCAGCAGTAACAGCTGCTGAGCAGCCGTTAGTGGCAGTAGCAAAGTCAGTGAATGGGATGGCAGCACCAATGCTAGTGGCAGCAGCAACAACAGAAGCAGAAACTGCAGCAGAAGAACAAAATAAGACTAAGAAGAAGCACACCCAGAAAGAAAGAATTACCAGATTCTCTCAGGAACCCCTCTCACATTCTCAACAACCCTCCTCGCACTTCCAAGAACCTTCCTCACACTCTCAGAAACCCTCTTCACAGTCTCAACAATCACTCTCTGTCAAACTCAGTCAAACTCATCTCAGCGACGCACCCCAAAACGACATCTCGATCGTTCGATCAGGAGTAGCCGGCTGATTCCCCGCCGTCCGATCCAAATAAACACGCTTTTCCAACGCGGAAGGTTGGCAAGAATCACAACAAGGCTTCAAATCATCAAAAGGAGAAAGGGGGTTCCAAGAATAGGGATCCTGAGATGTTGAGGCGTAATGAACCTAGAGTCAATACTCGGTTATGTTTTGTGAGTAAGTCTGGCGTTCAGGTCGTGACCAGGACACGATCGATGATCAGCAGTTAGGGGCAATGCGAAAGCTATGGCATACGTCGGTTGGGGTGAGAATGACCCACTCTAAGAGCCAGCTGCCTGATAGCTCCCTAGAAATCATTGGCTAGGAAAAAGAAGATTTCAGATAACTGAGCTGACCAGAATTTGAAGTGCGGGGTTCAAGGTTGTGATTCGATCACTCCTTGTTATGTCACACAACCGAAGTTCAACTTTCATTACCGTACTGTAGCTATTAAAAAATGTCATGTGCTCATTATGATGTGAAAAACCTCGAGATGCTCGGGAGTCAGAAAAGAACTGTAAAAAGTCATCCTACGAATTCAGTTGGGGCGTTTTGTTCTGTATGTAGACTACAAATGCAAAGAAATATACGCAACTGAACCGATGCGGCAACCTCTAGCGCATCACGCCATGAATGGCTAGTCAGGCACATGCTTCCAGCTCAATTCTAGTAGCTCAAGAAAATATTACACCATCGGTAGATTTAGGAATCTCACGGTTAGACCGTCTGATTACATTACGTGGCTTCAATCTGTATAATTGGTCGAGTAATCTCTGATAATGTTCTGGACCAGCAGCGTGACGAAGGTCGCGGCCTGCGGCTCTGCGACATGCGAGTCGCAGGGACCCGTCGCATGTCGCCCGCTCTCCACAGACGAAGAGCTTTGGTGTCGCGCGATGGAGACGGGAACCGGGCTCGGCGTCGTCGGTCTACAATTTTCCGGGCAGCTTTCTCTTGAGAAGGTCCAGCAAGCAGCGAAGGAGCTTGGGTCGAAATTTCCTCTCCTGCTTGCCCGAGTTGTCGGGCAGGGTAAAACCGGCGGTCCGCTTGAACTGCACTTGTGCCGTGACCCGAAACCAATCACTGTAGCTGCCCGAAGCATTGATGGCGTGGCAGCTTGGGAGGCTGCTGCGCCATTGGACAACGACCCCAGCAGCCTTGAGAACCGGGAAGAGCCTGACGTGGCGAAGAAATTCCAAGGGAGTGACGTGTATGGGGATGCTTGTGGTGAGGGTGAGAAGTCCACGTCAGCAATGGAAGCAGAATTCAAGAAGTTATCTGCAGCAGACGTGGCGGACGGAAGAGGAGTGGAAGTGGAGGAGGAGGAAGAGGAAGAGGAGGACGCGTTTGAGGATGCAGAGGATGGGGATGGTGATGATGCTGATGGTAATGGTGATGGCGGTAATGAGGGCGGTGAATTCCTAGAAGCTAGTGCAGTGGATTATAGTGGTGGAATCAAGGTGACCGGCAAGTTCAAGGGCGCTGCTGTGAAAGCGGAGGAGCTGCACAGAATAGTGGAGATGGAGTTGAACCAGCCAATCACCGCAGCGCATGGTGAAGCACCAGCAGACGCCCTGCAGGTAATGAGGGGGTGCTCCTCGTTTATTCCCGAAGGCCCTGAGCTTGCTGCTGCTACTTAGTGAATTTTTCTCTTTGTTGGTTTGTTTCTTTGCTTTTCTTCTTCTTCTTCTTCTTCTTCTTCTTCTTCTTCTTCTTCTTCTTCTTCTTCTTCTTCTTCTTCTTCTTCTTCTCCTCCTCCTCCTCCTCCTCCTCCTCCTCCTCCTCCTCCTCCTCCTCCTCCTCCTCCTCCTCCTCCTCCTCCTCCTCCTCCTCCTCCTCCTCCTCCTCCTCCTCCTCCTCCTCCTCCTCCTCCTCCTCCTCCTCCTCCTTCTTCTTCTTCTTCTTCTTCTTCTTCTTCTTCTTCTTCTTCTTCTTCTTCTTCTTCTTCTTCTTCTTCTTCTTCTTCTTCTTCTTCTTCTTCTTCTTCTTCTTCTTCTTCTTCTTCTTCCCAACCGGTCCTTCTCCCCAGTTTCTTCCCTCGATTCTGTCCTGATGTTTGAAGCGTTAATAGCGGCAAACCAAGTGTCATATTTCTCTCCCCATCTCTGATTCCTCCAGTCCCAACCATCCCCCCTCTCTGCCCGTCTCCCTCACTCCCTCCCCCTTCCCATCTCGTCTTCTGCTCTCAGTGGTCAGATTCACGTGTACCACCTCCCCCGTTTGTACCGTATCCCCCAATCCCACAGATCCACGTGTACCATCTCCCATACGCCACCTGTCTTGCTCTGCGCTGCCATCGAGCCGCGCTGGACCGTCCAGCCGTGCGCCAGCTGGCAGTGGCGCTTGTCTCCGCCCTGCACCGCTCGCAACCTTCTGAATCCCCAAGGTACGGCACACACCCGTCTGCCTGTCTGACTGTGCTGGACCGTCCAGCCGTGCGCCAGCTGGCTGTAGCCTTCGTCTCCACTCTGCACCGCTCGCTACCTGCCGATGCACGCCAAGCCGAGTCATCAAGGTATGTTACGATTTCATGTTCCAGCCTTACATCTGCAATGGCCCCTCAACGCAATATATTAGTCGACTCAACTTCTCGATCTTTGAGTCGAGTAAGAAATCCACCCACCATGCTCGAGTAACGCCCCACCTTTTCTATTGTCCCGAAAGGTATCCTCTTCTTCCCTAACTGCTTTCTCCCCCCACTTGCCTCCCGCGTCCTACTGTCATCTCCCCCCACTTGCCTCTTGCGTCCTACTGACATCTCCCCCCACTTGCCTCCCCCGTCCCACGTGCAGGGACTCAGAGACCGTTTCTCTCCTTGATGAAATGACTCGGCTCGGAACATGAAATGGTGACATACCTAAATCGTGAAATCGGAACATGAAGTGTCACCCCACTACCTTCCTCCCCTCTCCTCGCTCATCCCCAAGCCCGCTGAAACCCGCTCCTACCCATCCAAGAGCTTCTCTCAGGCCTACGACTTTTGAGGCGCCTCAAAAGTCATCCAAGAGCTTCTCTCAGGCCTACGACACTCTGGCCTATGTGTGCAGCTGCCTATGTGCGCAGCTGCCTATGTGTGCAGCTGCCTATGTGTGCAGCTGCCTATGTGTGCAGCTGCCTATGTGTGCAGCTGCCTATGTGTGCAGCTGCCTATGTGTGCAGCTTCCTCCAAAAACCTCTCTCAATGAACTCCCGTGGCACCCCACTACCTTCCCGCCCACTCCCTCTGTCTTCTTGTTCCCTTGCAGGGACTCAGAAGCCGTCTCTCTCCCGCCTCCTCTCTCCTCGCTCATCCCCAAGCCCGCTGAAACCCGCTCCTACCTGTCCAAGGGCCTCTCTCAGGCCTACGACGCACTCGCCTATGTGCGCAACGCCATGGCCTCCTCCCATGCGCCCTTCCAGCCTGGCCGGGCGGACAGCAGGAAGAACGAATTTCGTTCCTCCTTCACTTGTCTGCGCTTCGACAAGCAAGGTAATCTCCTGGCCTTTGAGACGCCCTCGCCTATGTGTGCAATGCCATGGCCTCCTCCCATGCGCCCTTCCAGCCTGGCCGGGCGGACAGCAGGAAGAACGAATTTCGTTCCTCCTTCACTTGTCTGCGCTTCGACAAGCAAGGTAATCTCCTGGCCTTTGAGACGCCCTCGCCTATGTGTGCAATGCCATGGCCTCCTCCCATGCGCCCTTCCAGCCTGGCCGGGCGGACAGCAGGAAGAACGAATTTCGTTCCTCCTTCACTTGTCTGCGCTTCGACAAGCAAGGTAATCTCCTGGCCTTTGAGACGCCTTCGCCTATGTGTGCAATGCCATGGTCTCCTCACACGCGCCCTTCCAGCCTGGTCGTGCTGACTGCAGAGCGAACCAGATCCGCTCCTCCTTCTCCTGCTTGCGCTTCGACAAGCAAGGTCAGTGCTCGTCGTCGCCCTTGCCTCTCGCGGCGCCTCAAAAATCGTCCAAAACGAACCAGTTCCGCTCCTCCTCCTCCCGCCTGCGCTTAGACAAGCAAGCTCGGTTCTCGTCGCCCTTGCCTCTCGCCCCTGCTCTCTCCTCAGCCTTATTTTGTAGTTGTTCAAAATTCGTCTCGAAAATCGCCTCAAGTGTGCAGTGCAGTGGCACTCAAGGATTTCCAATCCCCCATTTTCCATTCCTTTCTGCTGCCGCTCATGCACTCAACCCAACAGAGACAGCGAGCCTCCTCTCTTCCCTCGCCTCTTGCTCCTGCTCTCTCTTCAGCCGAGATCCAGACATGGCTCACTGAGCTATGTCTGGAGCTCTCTCTTCAGCCTCGACTGCACAGCGGTACTCAAAGCCGGGGCAGATGCTTTTGTTCCCCCTTCTCCACCTTACGTTTTCCTCCCTCTCCTCTGCCTCCCATCCATCCATCAGAGACGACCAGCCTCCTCTCGGCTCTCGCCTCTCGCTCCTGCTCACTCTTCAGCCTCCAGTGTGCCGCTGCACTAAAGGCCGTGGCGGATGCAAAGCAGCTGGGCAGTCGCACAGAGACGTTTAATGTGACCAGGTGTGGGATTCCAAATAGTTAGCACACTCGTATGTGTGCGTGCCCGTATGTACGTGTGCGTGCCCATATGTATGTGTGCTTGTGTAAACCCCATGCATGCAGGCATCATGCCCTGCATCCCATCCCCCTCTCCTC